ACCCATTGCCAAACTGGGGCACCGTCCGGGTCAGTCTTTTGAGCAGTGCTCAGTTGCTCTAGTGTCCAGTCTTGAAACAGACTAGGTTGTAGCGAGTCACCCACTCTGTGGATATGAGGACGTGAATCAACACAGTTATGTGTGTCTCCTACCCCCACTATGGAAACTCAGGCTTAGACCCCACCACCCCCACTAGAGTCTGCCGTATGATGGATGGGACAACTTCCAAAAACTCAAATGGGTCACACTGCACTGCTTTGTCCTGGCGCAGTTCGCCACTCTCTGGGTCTTGTATTGTGCAAGGGCAGGACTCACTGCATGGCCACCTAGAGAGTGTGTCTGCATTTTGGTGGATCTTGCCTGGGCGATGGACAATGGTAAAGTCATATTCAGCCAGTTTCTCTAACCAGTGTGCCAACTGACCCTCGGGTTCTCTAAGGCGGGTCAGCCAGTGCAGACTGCTGTAATCAGTGCGGGCTGTGAAAGGACGACCCAGTAGATACTGTCTAAAGTGGGACGTGAAATCTACCACTGCTAAAAGTTCTCTATGAGTGGTACAGTAGTTTTGTTCTACCACAGACAGCCACCTGCTCCCATAGGCTAACACCCTCTCCACACCCACTTGTACCTGTGAGGCGACAGCCCCAATCCCACAGTCACTAGCGTCAGTGTCCAGAAACATTTCCCCTCTGTCAAGGGGGTAGCCTAGGATAGGTGCGGATGTCAGCAGTCTCTTCCGTTCAGTGAATGCCTGCTAGCATGAGGCAGTCCAGTTAAAGTGGGGATACTTCTTAGTCAGTTGATGTAGGGGCTGGGCTATAGTCGCAAAGTCCGGCACAAAGCGCCTGTAGTAGGAAGCTAAACCTACAAACTCTCTCAGTCTTTTGGGGGTCAGAGGCAATGCCATTGGCAGAAACAATATGTCCCAAGTAGGCCATCATCTCATCTCGAAACAAACAGCACTTTGATGGTTTAAGTTTAAGCTTTGCCTGCCTCAGTCGAGTGAAAACCTGCTCTAACCACTCCAGCATTTGTGAGGTGTCTCGCCCCAGGACCACTATGTCATCTAAATACACTAGACAAGTCTCTCATTGCAGTCCCACCAACACCCGATCCAAAAGTCTTTGGAAGCTCGCCGGAGCTTTACACAATCCAAAGGGCATCATGTTCCCTGAAGTCAAGTCGAGTGTACTAAAGTACCTGGCAGTGGACAGAGTGTTGAGGGTGTCCTGGATGCGCGGGAGTGGGTATGAATCTTTGATGGTCCTTTCGTTTAAGGTCCCATAGTCCATGCACAGCCGAGGGGTCTTGTCCTGCTTCTTCACCATCATGGTAGGTGCAGCCCAACTACTGTTGCTAGGCTGGGCTAACCCTGCATCGAGGCTCTGCTGAAGTTGCTGATCGGCAGCAGACTGTTTCTCTGCGGCCATTCTGCGTGGAGGCTGCTTAACGGGGGCCCCGGCGTCATCTGGATGTCATGCTGCCCGATGCTGGTGCGGCCGAGATCAGCGAGACCGGTGGAGAAGACATCCCCATACGACTGCAGTAGCAGGGCGAGCTGGTGGCGATCCCCCTCCGTCAGGCTGGAGCAGCTCTCAGCATACAGCACCTGTAAATGGGAAGGGACAGAAACAGAGTTAAGTGGCCCCGGCTCGGATGGGCACATGGAAGGTGAAGGCTCCAGGGTGCCCACTACCTCAGCTGGCTGGAGAATGTCCGCCACCGCCCCTCTCCTCAAGGTCACAGGTACAGACCCAGGGTAGAAGACTCGGATCGGGTTGCCCTTGGAGCCCTGGGGGTGGACGACAGCATGGGCCACCAAAACACAGTGTCTTTCGTTGAAGCTCTTGGTTGGGTTGAGCAACATATCCTCACAGGAAGTAGGGCAGAGACGTGAGAAACCGGGCACCACATATTACCGGCCTGGTTCTAGGACAGCGGTGCGGGAAAGACGAATCAAATGGGTGGTTGCAGGTAAGCAGCTGGGGTCATAACGTGGGACCTTCTCATCGAAAAAGGTGATCTCTCAGCGGCCATAGTCCAGGCAAGCGTGCGACTGCCGCAGGAAGGGGTGCCCCAGGATTACCTTGGTACTTTTAGCAGCGTCAGCCATGATGAAGCTTAAGTCAGTTTGTCTCCCTTCCACCAGCACTGGCATGACTTCCCCAAGGACGGCTAAACCCTCTGGACCAATTCCCTGGAGGACCTTAGCAATGGATGGCTGTACAGGGGGCCTGAACTGCACTGGAAGAGAGTTGAAACGGTGCAGGGGCAGCACATTTTTTCTGGCCCCAGAGTCCAACAGTGCACAAAGTCTTAATCCATGTATCATTATCTGTACGCAGGTCTTCTTCTTGGCCTTTATTACAAACAACTGCACTAGTGTCCAGAGTGGAGTTCAACATAAAACTCACTTGCTTTTGTTGATGCTGGCATGGGGAGGGGCACTGCTTCTGTATGTGGCCCACCCCTGAACAGTTGTGGCAAACAATCTCACCTGCAGTGACTTTGCTCTTATTTGGGCACGGCTGGTGAGACCTCGGTTTTCCCTGTTGCTGGGAAGGAGTTACCGGAGCACACCTTGGGTTGTCACAGTCCAAAGTAGGTGTATCTTCAAACACTATAGCAGTTCTTGCCGCCGAGCCCCGGGGCCCAAGACCTACGTGCATCATTTGGGTTACAGCCCTGGTGGCTCTCTTGGTGGTCTCATGCCGGTGTGCAATGTCATACGCCTTGGACAGGGTGCGGGGCCTCTATTCTAGGAGCTTTTGGACAATGTCAGCGTCGGTCATGGCGTATGTGAAAATCTCAACAGCAATACTATCTTGTTCTAGTTCGGTGCAGTCACCATACACAATGGCGATCTTTTCCTATATGTCATCCCGGAGGGTATGCAGAGCTTCGCCTAGTTTCCGGACTCTCTGCCGCAGCTCGATCCCGATGGCAGCTGTGTTCTCAAAGTGTGGCCCATAAGCCGCATTAACCTCCTTTAATATGCGTTCATAGCTCCAGTCTGCAGACTTTGGGTTTTTGTGAACAATAGCACCAGCTGCGCCTGTTAAACTGAACCTGAGTTGAATAGCCTTTGTTTCGTGTGACCAGTGTTTTGCTCGGGCACGTTTCAGAGCGGTAGATTAAATCTTTCCATGAGTCTGATCCATCAAAAAGTCCTGGCCACAGAGTCAGAATTTTGTCTTTGGCCCCATAACACTCCTCTTCATTGCTGTCGGTGGAGTCGCTCAGCACCAAGCGTGATGAGTGGCGGTGCGGTACTGACTTTGACCGCCTAGGACCGGACCAATCCTCACCCCATTGTTACGCACTTATGGGTGGCTGCTTTGTGGTTGAGAGTGGCGCACGGGTATAATCTAGAGCGGTCATGTCGTCTGGGCTTTGCTGCAAAGGGCGCGGTGTCCTTTGTGCCTGGGTAGTGGCACCGGGTGTCAAACGTTGCATGGGCACCAAGGTCTGAGTAACTTCGTTGTAATCTGCATCTTGGAACATTGGCGCAATAAAGGGGTTTGTGTGCACCGATGGCGGCATGAGCTGCCATGCTTGTTGCATCATCCCGCTGCGGTGCTCATTCTCTGCGGATGTGGTTAGCTCCATACTAGTCAAAAATGGGCTGGTCTCGTCACCATTCACTCCTCTAGCTTGGCTCAAAGTAGCCCTAGCAGCCTCGGTCATTTCTAGCCAAAAAGGATTTGTGCTCACATTATGTTCTGCTACACTTAAAGTCTCATTGTTCGCATTGTCATTACCACGGTAAACCCGTGCCGCCATTATGTCTTTCGAGTGCTGCTGTTTTTCCCGGTCGTGGTCCCTGAGGTTTCTCCAGTCTTTACAAAAGCTGGATCCCGGACGAGCCCCCAGTGTTACTTTCTTCCCCTGCCCAGTAATCTCCTAACCATTTTACAGAGGCTGAAAAGGCATTTGACTCAACACGAAATTTATTTCAGAAACATGAGCAGTAAAATACAGTGGCCGTGCTGTCTGGCGGCCGCAACAGAAGAGAGCGCCTCGCGCCAAGACACAGAACAAGACAGTCCCGGAGGTACCCACAACACCTTACACTTAAAGGGACCAGCCAGGCTGGTAACACGTCTCTTAACAGGTGCCATTTTGGGGTCCTTATCGGCCCTTATGCACACGTTACTCCTCGCGGAGTAATATGTACTAGCTCCTGACCACGGTCGCGGTAATGCTCCGACAATCCATGAAGCGATGTTGCTTCGTATCTTACCAAAGTCGTACATTGTAACATTGTTACAGATTCTTGAGTGCCGTGTACCACATAAAATCGGTTTGACCAAAAAAAACAAAACAAAACAAAAACAAAAAAAAAACAAAACGGATTTGCATGAACCACAAGTGTGGCATTTTTATGTCTGAAAATCCAGAAAAATCACATGTATGATTAATCATGAAACATAATTTTACTCCTCATAATAGCCCAGTGTGGAACAATGCCTACATATTGGTTAACAGAAAATCTATTTTCATTAAGGTATGGTATTCTAAAAGAATATGGACTGTTCACTTCATGGATGATGAAGGGCTCTTTTTACAACATGTTTATTTTTCACAGAAATTTCAAATACAGTGTACCAAAATAAAATGTAACCAATTTACAATAGCTATCCCATTACAGATTAGGATACGTTGTACTCTGATATTTCTCCTACACTGAGACAATTTTGTATTGATTTGTATTTTTTTCCAAGACCAAATCTAATATGACACAATGGAAGAATGGAAGAATGACCCGAAGCTTAAAGCTGGTTATCTTGTGTCCTTTTTGAATTACTTTAATTTACTCTATAAGCTTATATATGTATTTTGAATTTATTTAAAATGTGTTATTTTTGTTTGTATTTGGAAATTTGAAAAAAAAAAAAAAATAATTTAAATACCACGCCCAGCACCAGGCTCCTCTGATCCCCCTTCTGGCTCTATGGATCTATTAAAAATAACTATTCGGACCGGCTTCACTCGGCTTTTTCCGTGATCATCCTCCAGATTCGCCTCGGCTCGACTCGGCCTCCTTGTGCTAGGCTAGTAAGCATAGGGCTAGCTAGCAGCTAGCAAGAAGCATTTAAAGTTCGTCACTAGCCCGGCCTGGCAACATGGCGGGTCCTGTGGCCAACAAATGCTTTTCTTCTTTGGCTTTCTTCAGACGAAGACTCTCTGCTCCAGAGTTTATTAGCAGATGCTGTTACCACGTTAAGGTAAAGAGTTAAAGCAGAGCGTCGTAGACAGAGCATAAAGTTAATGTTTCTAGCCCAGTTGTTTAACTTAGCTACTACAATTTAGCAGTAAGTGTGTCATTGACAGGTCATAGCCATAGTTGTTATTTGTTTTGTTAATTCAGTGAATCACAAGCTTACTTGTATGCTATTTGTCAGTTGTCATTTGTCATTTTGAATTTTATTCTCTAAAAATTAAGTAACGGCCCCATAACTACTGGGTTTGTTTTGTATATTGAGTGTGATATATATAACCGTAGACTGTATGGATACATCTTGTGAGTCGTTAAACGTATTCAAACCAAGGTCCCTAATCTATTTTTTACGTCATGTTTGTTGTGTTATGTTTGTTAGTGAGACTATCAGATCACTTGGGTTATTGTTTTAGACACTAAAACATGTTATGGCTCAGCTCAGTGGTTGATCATCAGAGCTGTTAAAACACCAGGTTTGATTACTGAAATAATGAGAGAAAAAAACTACATGGTTACGTGTTGTTTTAAAAAAAAAAAGTATTGTATATTTTGTGGTTGTCACTGTGACTCAGCGGGATGGTGACTGGGTCACGTACCTTGTGAAAACACGATAAAAATGGAAAAGCTCTAATATGCTATTCTGCACCTGCTTGCGTTTACTACCAAGTAACGTTTAGTTTTGTTTTTAGGTTGTGGACCATTATGAAAACCCAAGAAATGTTGGCTCTCTGGATAAAAACTCCAAGAATGTGGGGACTGGTTTGGTTGGTGCTCCTGCCTGCGGAGATGTCATGAAGCTTCAGGTTTTTACTTTTTACAAATAGAAATTATCAGATCTTCATCAAATCAGATGAAGATATAATGCAGGGGTCTCCAACCTTTTTCCTTTAGTGAGCTACCTTTGCAAAGCAAAAATTCTAGAGAGCTACAGATGTTAGTGGTCAGAAGAAATTTAGCATATATAACAGCCATAATACACCTTAGATGAGGAACAGGTTAGATCTCTATAAAACTTAAACTATTATCCATTTTTTAGTGCACAACATTAGGCATTAAAATGATACATTTACAATCAAATTTCATTCAAATTTACTTGGTCAGCACAGTACATGTAATCAGAAATCATTTGGCGAGCTACTTGGAAGGAGGTGGAGAGCTACTGGTAGCTCCCGAGCTACAGGTTGGAGACCACTGATATAATGCATAATAACTGCTTAATGCCATGCTGCTGATCATTTACAGTTACAACATGTGTAAACTTTTGGGGTTTTTTGTTTGTTTGGAGGTTGTTTTTTTTGCTTTTTTTTCTCTCCAGGACAATTTAAGGGAATGATAACATGATGTATTTTTGTTTGTAAAATGCTCACAAAATGCATGTGATTCATTGTGCGATTCACTGTATGTGATTCAGTTTTCAGTCATTATTATTACCTGGCATTATACACTGGTGCCACCTGGTGTTGAAAAATATGAGGAGAATTATAGAATTATTTACAATTATGTATCACTTAATATGCTTATCACTACATATTGATATTTATTATTATTATTATTATTAATTGATTATTTCCACAGATTCAGGTGGATGACCAGGGGAAGATAATAGATGCCAGGTTCAAAACCTTTGGCTGTGGTTCTGCCATTGCCTCCAGCTCTTTAGCAACTGAGTGGGTGAAGGGCAAGTCTGTGAGTAAATTTTTACACAACTTGTATGTTTCAAAGCACAAAGATATTGTCTTCTCAAAAGTTTGAATGCTCATTTTTTGATAGGTAGAGGAAGCATTGACCATAAAGAACACAGATATTGCCAAAGAGTTGTGTCTTCCACCTGTTAAACTTCATTGCTCCAGTAAGTCATATAATTAGAATTTGTCCTATCCTGTTTTGCCCTTTAATCTAAACTGGTTATGGTCTCTCTTAGTGCTTGCTGAAGATGCCATTAAAGCAGCCCTGGCTGACTACCGTCTGAAGCAGCAGGATGACCAGCAGGAGGCAGCAAGGGCCAACAACTGAACCCTCTTATTCAAGTTTTGATGTCTGCTCCCTAGTACACTCTCAGACAAACTTCACATGTTACTGCAGTGTTGAGGTACACCCAGTACATTTCTATACGCACACTATTCTTAATCCTCTGCAGCAGTGACTCCAGGCTGTTGTCTCTGTACACTTAACTCCTGTCACATAAACGCACAATTGAAGCTGTTGGGGCAAATGATACAGTGATGAGCCTTATTTATCAAACAGTTTTTGATGTTTAAAAGCCGTTTTGGCTGTAGTGTGAAAAGCGAAGAGCTTCTCAGGCATAGTTTGAGCTCTGAACTTTTATATGCAAATACCCCAGTGCGGCTTTAGAAGGGCCCATTGGCTTTCTTGTTTAGTCAGCTAGGAATGCTTCCTTTTTGTTCAAATAAAATATTAAAAATAACACTTTAGGTTGTCGTATTTATTCTTATGGAAGACAATCACTTTATTTCTGTACACACACTTTATTTCTGTGATATAAAATCCATTACATTAGTATGCTTAAGTATGCAAAGTGTGTTAGGCCATAAAATCTGATGATAAATACGCATGATAAGGCAAACTCACATGCTTTTGGCATTTAACATTTCATTTAATACAAAAAAAAATGTTTTACCTAGTTGTTTGCACTTCCATTTTTCCTCAATTTCATGATTGCATCAGCATGAAAGATAAAGATGACCTGTGTCCTATTAAAGCAAACAATTTGTTGAACCTTCATTCAATGCAATAAACAGTAAATAGTCTTCAGCACCAAATGAATGTTTGTATCAGGTTGAGAGGCAGCCTGAAATGCAGAAATGTCTGCAAACACAATGATAAGGAATATCCCTTTAAAATATTATTGTAAATGTTCTTGGGAGCAAAATAGACATATCCATAGCCCATGGTGCCTCAGAATGCCGTTTTCTCTCCTGCAATTAGCTGGAGTGTGGCAGTGTCGTTGTGGATGTGGAGAGAGGATGGGCGTGCGTTCTTATTGATTAATACCTCTTGTGAATCACTTTTAGCAGACAGGCTCTCATCTGACGAAACCGCTGTTGCTTCACTGAGAGAAAGTTGACAAGGCTCCTTCTCCTCAGGGAGGCTGGGCAACAGCGTGTCCAAGATGCTGTCTTGTGGCAGGGTGATCTCTTCAGACCTGTGCTCCTCCAGCTGGCCTTCTACTGCTGACTTATTAGGAGATCGTAGACTCCTGGCTGCTCTCATGATGTCTGCTTGAAGCTGCTTGTGGCTGTCAATTGTCTCACTAATCTGTTCTAGACTTGCTTTTTCTGGCAAGTCACTAAAAGTTTTAGCACCTCCAGTTTTGTCCCGATGGTCCACATACATTTTGGAGGGAAAAGAAGACGGGTAGTAGGCATTGAATTTGCGCTTGCGACTCATAAAAAAGGCCCCACAGAGTATGAGAAATATCAGGAAGACCAAAGTGATTGTGACAAGGATCAAGAGTGTGTTTTCTCGTAGGAAGTCCTCAACTCGCTTCAGGGCATCTGCGTTCACGTGAGGGCCAGCAGGCGTGGTCGGGAGCTCAGAGAACAGGTACGTGGGAGCTAAAGAAGATGTAGAGTTGAAGAGTTCATCCTCATCTGTGCTTCCCTCAAAAGCGCTGTAAAGTGCAAGGGGACTGGCCAAAGTTCTGCTGAGGGTATAGACAGTGAGGAGGCTGATCAGATGTGAAACAGCAGTCTTCATTTTGACTTTCTGTCTGCAAAATAACACAAAAACAGAAAGCATTCTTATTAGGCATTTCAAGTTCATACACAAGGCATTGGGAAGCAAACTAAGTGATAGCCAGTATTGGGTTCCCCATATTTCAAACCATGATCCCCAAAATAACATATTGTAAAATGTGATATAAATATTGGACGTTGCAATAATTGCATTGATTTTTTCTATCATCAGTTTGGTTAGTCCTCCATTTTGAGTACTTGCTTATATTTGTGTCCCCCTATGCAATGATTCACTCTCCCCAATTGTGTAACTGTAGCTGCAGGACACTTACTTAAACCACTTACTAAACCACACTTAACTGCAATGCTTCTCAAAAACTTTGTAGTGGTATCTCTGTTATCTGATCGTTGGATGATGAACTACCACATTTACATTCATTCTCCACATTCAACATTGTCAGATAAAGTACATTTGTTAAAGTATATTGTATATTAGTAAGACATAATTGCAGTATATTTGGGTCAGAGGAAAGATGAATAAAAAATAGGAGCAGTACTCTGGCATTGTGTCCACCAGACTTTTGTCTTTCCATCTGCGTACAAGCTGGGTGACAGGAACCTCTGCTCTCATTTGGAAAGGGGGGAGGGTGAAACTTCGATTTTTTCCATAGAATTAGGACCACCACATGCAATAAACATACTACTGATTAAAATGGCACGTCACACACCAACAAACAATCTGGCACTCACCATGAGAAATAGCATGTAGTTTGTGAAGTTGTCTGGAAGAGTGATCTGGAACCAGAGCTTACATAGAGTGGTCTCCTTGCTGTTTCAGATTTCAGTCTGGAGTTCTGTCTGGATAACCATGAGCAACTCCCTCCTTCTGCTGCACTCTCCTCCCCCTTTTCACCAGCCGTGTCTGAGCAGCCTAGTCCTCTCACAGATTGTTCTTGTTAGGTAGTAGTTTATAAGGTGTAGGGTAAGGCGAGGCGCTACTCAACCTAACAGAACAGCCAAGGACACCGTTTAAAACTTCTGTTCATATCTTGAATGTAACTTATAACTCACAGCACAGGCTTCTTTGTACAGGGCCTGAAGTTTGATTCACTATAAGTAAACTGACTTTCCACTTACCCAAACACAAATATTTTGTAACTTTTCAAATCCAAGTACCACAATTTTCTTTTCATGCAATACCTTTGTTCAATTTTGGCAATCTAAAATTCCCCTAAACCATGCCTAAACTGGGATTTAACTGCAGCCAAGATTCATTTAAACCCTGTCCAAATGAAGGCCAATATGGTACACTATTTTAATAAAAGAACAATACAATTTGCACACCACTGCAATCAGACCATTTTAGTTCATTGGTTTCCTAAACTCAAGTGGATTTCAGAATTTATGATCGATTGATTCATCTGTGTGGATGTATTGAATATTTAACACATTCTACTGTTTATAGTCATGACTGAAGAAATTTTGCACACATATGATCAGATTTTGTTAACAGTTTCTGCAATAAAGTAATGAAAAATACTTCAACTTAAACATGATAATGTTTAATTTGTGAAGAATATGTCTATATTTCTCTAGCACTGTCTGGGTAGCCTATTTCTGTGTTTTGAGACAAATTAAGTGTGTAACTATGAAGGTGAAAATGAGTCGGGGCACAGCTCGTAATACTAACTGATTCTTTCAGGAAGAAGTTAATGTTTCCTGTGCACACCTAAGGTGCAGCCCTATGGCAGGAGCCGGGGGATGGAGGAGACCCTCTTTGAAACAATGAAGTGTATTTTCTCCAGCAGCAGCAGACAGCAATTACACTCACACGGTGTGTGACCACTTTAGGCTAAAATGTGACTGGCTTTGAGTGGCCTGGCAAGCCAATGCAATCAGTCAAGACAAGTCGCACTTTATATGGTCATTAGGCGCATCAGAGTAGCTCCTGCACCCTCACAGTTTACACTGACCCAGGCTCTGTTGATACTCAAAAAGAAGCACATTCTCCTGACAAACATATGTACAAAATATTTTTTAAACTAGCAACTATTTGGAAAACAAAAAATAGCATTAAAAAAAACAGGTTCAGTCCAACCTCCGCATATGATTACAATGATGTAAGCTACTAAAAAAAGAAACTCAAACACAAACAACAAACACAAAAGTTGACTTTTTCAGTATTCAGAAAAGACAAAAAATTCTATTTTTGCAAAAAACAAAACAAAAAAAACAAGACATTTGCATTTTGTTTTTACAAAAAACATTGTAGAGCAATGGGCAAACAGGGGTAGTTGAAAATAGAAATTTTATAAGCAAATTGCAAAATCAAGTTGTATATACACCTATACGCTTAAAAACCCTAAGCTTGTAAGTATACCACTCAATTTAGCTTTTAAGTGTATAGATGACTCAATTTTAGCAATATTTAATGTGTCTCTTTAAATATTAGATGTGGCCAGACAAAGAAATCTAATTGAATAATTATTAGTAACATGCTTTTATAAAGTTTTATAAAAACAAACAAACAAAAAAAAGATAAAATACAAATATGGCAGAAAGGATTATGATCATGGGCAAGGTTAGGACAAACTAACTCAAAACCAGATACTTATAACTGAATTATCTTGACGTGACATTGACCATTTTGCCTTAACATGTAAAAAAAAGTAAAGATGGTTCTTTAAAAAATAATTAGCTTCACCCCTTTGAATCATAATTTACAAGATTAAAAAAATAACTCTCTAACATGATTCACAATTCTGAGATAGTTCTGAGATTGAGAGCAGTAATCCCCTGACAGTACTGGTCTTCCTGTCTCCTGCTGCTAAGTGAAAAACCATGAGGACATCTGCTGGGGAACTTTGGGGGACAACATCTTTGATCTGTAAGGTTCTCCAAGTCACATGATATAAAAGTCTTTCCTCTACATGGTGCTCACTGCCAGATATATTGGTTCAAAGTGTTTGAATATGAGTGTGCTTTTGTGTTTGTGGTTTCCGCGCTTCTTCCTCCTTAGTAAAGATCACGCTGTGGGCCAAACCACCAGCTTCAAAAAGGAAGCAGTGACTGTATCCACCCCCCACACACACATCTGATACACTTTCTGATGTATCAGTTCTACCTTTGCATCAGTTAAAAATACGTTTACCAATATCTATATACATATATACATACATACAACAATCATATTAGGAAACCACTTACTACAAATGTGCAAATACCTTCACTATAAATTGCCAGTTAGTTATTCTGGAGTTGGCTGGTTCAGAATTTATCACAATTTGAATTAATGGTTGGAAATATGGTTAGATGCTGTTTACTTTTAGATATGGGGACAGTTTGGTCAGCAAAGTAACACACAATGTTCCCAGTAAGTAATTATAAAGATAGAAACAGGATTCGTTGTCTTTATACATTTGACATGACGGTAATGCCTTGGTTGAGGTCTTGGGGCTTTCCAAGAATAAACCAAGCTTTATTCATAACATATTATTTAAATATACACAGCAACAAGTTTTGTCATAGAGTTTTTTTTTGCTCAGTGCATTTGAATCACCCATTATCTAAACATAACGGTCATTATCAGGTAGAAAACTGCTGAGGGTGAGGTTGTCTCCTATTTCATCATCACTGTCCCCACAGTTATGGATAACCAGGACCCCATTGTGCACTGGGCTGCGTTGCCTTGTGTAGCGGTGGTGAGGGTTGGAGCTTTCAGGCAGCAGTGAAGATATGCACATCATCTCTGTACCTTGCTGCTGTCTTCTCAGTTTGAACTTTCTTGAAGACAGTTTGGTACAGAGGATTATGGTAGAAATGATAAAAATCGTTGCCACAACAGCCAGAGATGCAATGACAATCAGACACTTTTTTACCACACCTATAGATGAACAGGGTGGGGTCTCTTTGTTATCAATACCCTTTTTGGAAGAAGTTGGCTTGCTCGTAGATAAAGTTTTGGGAAAAATGGGTATCAAAGATTCTTGTGTGGCATTTGTGGTTTGTGAAAAGATTGTTGAGAGTATTTCTGCAGTAGTGGTTGATATGTTGGAAAATACAGTTGTTGGAATTGTAGTAGCTTTGGTTGACTGGTTGGTAGACTGATTGAATTCCGTATTGGATATGTCTTGAATGGTTTGGTTGCTGCTTCTGGTGATTGCAGAAGTGGTAGTTGCCGTGCTATGCTCTGGTAACATGGTTGACAGTGTAGTTTTTATTATTGATTTATTTGTAACTGTAGTTAAGGTTGTTGTCAGTGCTGGGGTCTTTGGAGCTACTGGCAAGGCGGTAGTATTAACTGACCACTCAGATGTTTTTGATGTCACAGTTGTCAAATTTTTCTCTTCATCTGTTATGTTGATTGGTAATATTGTCTGGAATCCAGTTGTATTTGTTGGTACCATGGTGGTCTGATTTGGTGGTAACGTTGGTATCGCAGTTGACTTCTCTTCTGCTGCTTTCATTCCTGTTGTTGAGGCTTCTGTAATATTAACTTGAGAACTGCGTGTAGTTGTTGTAATGGAAGAAGTCTGTTCAGTTCCTGTAACATTGTGGGCAAATGGCTTTCCACTTGCAGTTCTTGTTTCGTCTGTTGCTCTATGACTGAGGCTTAAAGTAGTTGCAGTAGTTACATTTTGTTTGTCAAATATGATGGGTAATGGAGTACTGTGAGGCAAAGTAACTTCTGCAGGAGGGTGGGCAGTCACACTGGTGGTGAGGTTGTTTTCTCTTGTTGTTATTTCACTTCTTATTTCCAGGACAACAAATACCAGTAGTCCCAAAAACATAGCGGGGTACATCTTCATGGTCAGAGACAACATGGTAAAAATCTAGATAACAAAGAGAGGGAATTTTAATACTTTTTAGTGAATTAAAAAAATGTCTTCAGTAAACTGTGATTATTAGTTTTATAATATTTTATTTTATATTGTTAGTGGCCTGTGTTGCTAGTGTTCTAGTCAATACAAAAACAGATGAAGCAATACTAGTAGTATTCTTTCTAATTACAAAATATTACACTAATTTATATCTTGCATTCAATACTTCAATAAATTGTACATTCATTTTTAGTAATAATATACTTTAGTAATAATTGCCTTATATTTTGAGTACTTGAAAGGAAAGTGACAAGCTTCAAGTGGGTGCTAAGGCATGTTACGAAACAGCATGGTTTTGCCACACACTGCACATTTTACAAGCACAACCTCTACTCCTGTTAAATGGGTGTTTATGTAAAAACACAACTCAGTTTATCAGTGTTGACTATAAAATGCCATTGTTTTTTACCTTTATGCTATAAATTTGGAAAGTTACTTGTTCCAACATATTAATGTGATTAAGCCACATATTTGAAAAACAAGTAATATTAAACCAGTATTTTTACATATATATATATAATCGAATGTTAATAGTCATACTTCTTGATAGCCTTACCTTATAGTTAGACAGGCCTGGTGATAGACAGACTCAATCAGGGGCTCATTTCAGTGTGCCATGGAAAAGATCTGTCAACTGTTGACGAAGAAGCAGGAAATGTACAAATGCTCACAGCAGCAAGTGTTAGCATATGACTAATATCAAGACTTCCTTCAGACTAGCTCTGAATTAAGTAAAATGAATACATTAAAATGCTTTTTTTTTTTTTTTACATTACCATGATGAATGACAGTTTCATTGGAGCTTGATCTGTCTTAATGTTCTGGTACCTACCTTATAAAAAGCAACAGGAAGTACTTGCACAAGTGACGAATTATGACAATCACTTGTCAGAACCACTTATTTCTAATGGCAAACATTAGCAACAAATAAGGAATTAATATATTTACTGGTTAAATTGTGTCAAATGTTTTTTAACAATACAAAACTTTTTGTTTATAAATAAAATAATTAAATTTGATTCCCTGTTCTATGCTAATTTAGACTAAATTGCAGAAATAACTGAGTACTTCCTCACTTGTGCTCTGGTACTGTTTCTGTCTCCAATGAGTACAGCCTTTCCTTTGGCACCACCTACTGACAAAATCTTAAGCTATCAGAGGCAAGTATTCTTTAAGCTGATGAAACCAATACAGAACAAAGGTCAAAATAAGCTAGTGTTTCTGATGTGTAAAATCTTTATTATGTGCACAGAACTGTTTGTTGGGGTTCAGTGAAACACAAGCAGTGAGTGGTCCCTCCCCAACACCACATATGCACTGAAGAGAGCCGCAGTAGATAGGCCCTTTTCAGTGACAAGAGGCACCACTACATTTTGCACAACATTTACACCAGAGAAATGCAACCCTCCCTCCCCTTAACACCCAATGGTTTATGTTGAGATCAAAATAGGAACAATAATGTTTGATAAGGATTTCTGCCACATTCATAAATCTGAGAGGAAAAACAGCTATTGTTTACAAAAATCCAGCTTGGCTAAATGATTCTATAGGTGTGACAGGAATGTACATCAGGAGAGAAAATGTAAAAGCAGTGCATAAAAAATGCAATTCATATTTGGCAACACAAAACATAAAATATGGAAATACTGATGCTACATACAATTTCAGAGAAGTACAAACTTCACATGAGAATGTTTTACCACATATTAAAACAAAAATTAAGACTTATCCTTCAACAAAAATGTCTCTTCAAACAAACATGAGCTGCAAGAGTTTTTTCTTCATGAGATGGGGCTGGAGTGTGATACTGGAAAATAGCAAATTCCATCCTGGAATGTAGACTTGGAGCCATTACAAAGACACCAAGTTCAATGGAGCTGAATCTTGGGCAACTGGCCTTGGGTTGACCACATCCACTGATCTGGGATGCTGTAGTGTCTTACAAGGCGACCTTGGCGACCTGCTCTTCCAGTCTGGCAATCCGACGGTCCTGAAGGATGACACGGTCCCTGAGTGACTTGAACTCTCGGAGTACCTCTTCTAGTTTGTCTTCCATTTTCTGCTACAAAAAATAACAGTAAAGTCATTCCAAAACACAACAAAGCCAGAAACATCTTGCAGGCAGTTGAGCAGCAGCTTCTCAGCTGTGTCTGACCTATATATATATATATATATATATATATATATATATATATATATATATATATATATATATATATATATATATATATATATATATATATATATATGTGTGTGTGTGTAAAAAAGTGAAACAAGTGAGTGTGTCACCTATAGTGTTCAACACCGCTCAAATGAAGCTTGCAATTGTTACAGGAGGGAGTTTGAAGCCCGGCTCTATATTATGATTTTTTTTTTGATGAACAAAATAGCAAAAAAACAACAACACCACCAGGCTCATGTAGGGCGGGTTAATATGAACATTTTATGACCAAAATGACGAGGCTCACAGCAGCAGTTACAGTAAGGGGGCAACAACATTTCAATGCAAGTCAATGGCAGCCAGGGTCAGTAGGAGTTGGAAGAGCCCACATACGAACTTCCTAGTGCATTAGCTCAGTCCTTTGATATATACAGTCTATGGTCTGACCCAAACACAAATATAAAGTGCTGATTCACCAAAAAAGTGGCACTGAAACAAAAATTAATAGGCACAAAATACTATTTACTGTTATAATATGAGCATTAAATGAGTGTGTGTGTGTGTATGATAAAACACTCACTGCTGAAGGCTGAGGAGGAGCCTGCTTCTGAACCGGCATGATGCTCTCTGCTTTTGGAGCTGGCTTAGATTCCAGGACATTAGTTTTAATCACTTTCAGGTCCCGGCTCTTTGACGACACATATCCATCTTTTAGTGAAATCAGGATGGGACTTCCATTCTTCCCAGCAAACCACTCCTCAGCCTCCAGAGCTGGGTCTGGGCCCGCGGTGTCTGGATATAGGTCATCTTGGAACAGGTCAGACTGAACAAAGAAACAATATGATACAAATGAGACTAATAGAACACTAAATACAGACAGTAACATCCAATGCACACACTTACCTTGCGGGGGACAGTCATAATGATTGGTTCACATTTTCTCTCATGCAGTTTATAAAATCTGAAAATGTAATGATTAAAATTTACTCACAAACAGTGAATAAGACATTTTCTCCAGAATGTACCTTGACGGTTTAAAAACATGCATTTTTGTATTTGTTAAATGCATTTATTATCAAGACCAGTACCTTGCTATTTCACACTTGTTAACATCCAGACCTCGTTTAGGCATGTAACCCATTCCTCTCTGCGGTTCCTTAGTAGAGAAGGTGTTGAGGTAGTGAACATACGGCGCTTCATCTGTGATTTCAAAGTACCGAATGCTGCTATCACCCTGAGGACCCAAAGAAATATTTAGGTTTTAACAACACAAATGCAGGCCACATTTGTCTTAGGACACCCCACCTTCCCACAAAGGTACACAACGTTGGTGTCAGGATCGTAAAAAGGCAAAAGGACTCCATTACTAGAGTCCATTTCTTGAACACATATTGGCTCATCCATGTTATCCTGGGAAAGACATGTAAAAGAACAAAACTTTATTTTTTATTGTATGAAAATATAAATACATTTTAATAAATAAAATAATTATTATTTTATTTTTTTTCCCCTGAGTTTTGAATTTAATTCAATTTAACCATCAATTAAAGTATTCGGAATTTCAAAGCTGTATTGAGGAGTCACTTTATTGACGTACACTTTTCCACAAGGCAAGTTGGCGTTCACTCATGCGGCTGAAACCTGTGGTGAAAATATTTCCATCTGCTAAAAAGATTGCTCTCATTGGCCGTGCTCCCTCGTGGGCTTTGTCCTTATCCTATAAAGACACAGATGTGTCACACCGGGAAATACAACAATACCACTAACTTACAGTACTTCCACTTACCGCAACAATCTTATTTTTGCGCGGGTCAATGACGCGGACCTTCTTGTCCTTGCAGGCAGTGCAAAGCAGACTGCCATTGCGGCTCCAGCTGACACTAAAGATGACATCAGGATGCATGTCCTCCAGGTTGATCATGGCCTCACCAGTGCCCACGTTCCAAATAATGATCTGGTTGTCACACCCTTAAATGGACACATGCACACAAATACCACTCTGAGGCTATTTTCAGCACATTGGACGGGCTCTGGCATTCTGTGAGATAATGGTCTGATTTGGAGCTCAGCTGTGCTCTGTGCCTCAGTCAAACATTACCAGCACTGAGAAGAACGTTGCGGGCGGTGGGGTGCCAGGACACAATGCCCACCCTCTTAGAGTGTCCTTCAAGCACCACCACAGGCTCCGAAAGGGGAGACTCCAGGCCATTCTCAGGAATCTGCCATACCTAAAGACATATGACCCGAAGTTCAAACAAAAAAGCTCTTCAGATAATACACCTATTTTTAATGCTGCCGGGTCAGCTATAAAATTAGAATACAAACGCACCATTACAGTGAACTCATATGATGCACACAGAATTAGACACTGGGGATACTGTGTCCTTACCATGACTGTGCAATCCTCTGAGCCACTGGCAATGACCTGGTCATTATGAGGACACCACTCTATGTCCAAAACTGGACCAGTGTGACCACAAACTGTGGGGTAAACCTTGTCTATACGACCGGTCTGTGGGACAAGCACAGGGAGTGTTAGGCAAATCAAGGCAATTACAGTTTCTGATCTCTTAAAGAGTGTAATTATGTTCTATGAAACACAGTAAGTCCCTTTTCTGTGGGAAGACATGAGCTCTTAAACAGTTACAGAAATTACATCTGACAGAGAAAAAAACAAATATAACGTAGTGGCCTAGTTTAAGGGCCCATCCCCCTGTGGTATCAAGTGTTCAACATGATACTACACAGTGGATGCACATTTAGGAATTGATTATCTATAGTTTAACGATATGCAATTACCTATAAGCCCTCCAAGGCAGATGCAGATCACTGGAGTGGTTGAACAAAATGTCTACTGGACTGAAACTGAATACCTATACTAAAATACTTTGTGACATTGTCTCAGTACAATAACTATACTATTACACAGTATAACATTCAACAATAAAACATGTGTTGACAACACATGTTTAATTGTTGAATGGGTGTGGTAACAACAAATTTTGGTCAAGACCAGGATTACCTATTTGACTCTTTTTAATAGTTGACCTACAAATGATTTATGTACGAAAGGCACAATGACTGTAGTTAATGCTACCCAAAAACAGAAATAAATGAGACAAGAGAAAGTGATAAACTACAAAATACTCACTTTGTGTAAGGGCAGCACTAGGAAGGCTCCTCCACCACTTGCTTCAATAATGATGGCAACAAACTTGGGGTTGACAGCACAGAAGGAGCTGTCCCATGTGACCCTGGACACGCGGATGTCATCGTAACACTGGTCATTTCTCACCGCCTGCCCAAAGACGTGGCGGAACTTGCTCTGTCGCACAACTCTTCTCAACATGTCTGAAAGGAAAGGCATTCAAGAGTGTATTAATATAACATCATGTTTAACATCATGTGTTTGGGGTTTGTATTTTTAGAGATAACCTTAAATGTAGATTTTGATTTTTGTTCAATTGCTGAGGCATATTTTATAACTGCACTCAACTACTTAGAAGCCCTAACTATTTGACTCAAGTCCAGATCCAGGAAACATATGCCTGGTCTTTATTTAGATCTCATGTAAGGAATGACTGATACAAATAGCCTCACATTGCTGTAATTACACTGTTGCTCTGAGTTCTATGAACAGAGACATCATGCAAGGGGCTACAGGCCTGACGTCACATCAACCCACCTGTTTCTTGACATTCACTCAGATTTTGTGAATGGACAGAATGAATCACCACATTATTAAACACAACTTAGAACTTTGAATTTTCAGCCTTGCAAATTGCATGGGATACTCTTTGTTCTCAATAAAATTAGTCTGTCAGTGTCTGGTAAATTTACACCTAGGATGATTGTATGTAGATGATAATTTGGTTAGCAAAAATAATATTTTCAACAAAGCTTGACTTGGGCAATCACAGACATGCTTATGTGTTTTCAATAATAGAGCCTGATTAGACTTTAGGCCCATGTGGGTGTGCACTGTGCCGTCTGGCTGAATGACATGTCTGAATGAATCTCACATTTCACTCTCTGCTCTCACCTTTTGTCTTGGTGTGGTTTGTGTTACAGTATTTTCATGTATTATATTTGTATGTTAACAGAAGAGTTGCCCATCTCCTATTTTAATTTAGATGACAATCCCATCCCCATAGCATTTAGAGATTACCTAGATTTTAAAACACTATTTGTAAGGTTACAGATGCTGAGCTTTATAATGGTTCTGGAGATCTTATGTCTGAACAGAACATTATGTTCCTTTAGTGAATGGGGGCACTTTATTCAAAAGAACCTTGACTTTTCTGCATGTATTCATCAGACAATATGAGCTGGTTTCCTCCCCTGCAGGCATGAGCTGATTCTACATTACATTACAACATAGTCCTCACAGCGCCGTGCTGCATTTGTCACCACCCAGTAGCCTATAGAGCAGCTGGAGATCATGCTGGCCCAGTCTCTGCTGCTGCCTTGATGTTATTACACATGAACTGTAAAATATTCCAGTGTTGATGCTTTGAAGTTTAGCAAATAGCGTTTATGAAACGCTGTAGTGATAGTTTAATTGGATTGTTTTCATGCAAATCAAGGTTAAAGTAGCTTCACTGACATTTATCATTGTAATTAATGTTTACACATAGGTTTATCGTACAGTAGGTTAAATACACTTATGTCAGCCAAATGTGAATGCCATTTCAATCTTATTAGTGCTTTATTAGTTAGTTAATTTGTTATTAGTTAGTATACGGTATATTTGTAGTACACTTTTGTGTCACAATTAATACGCAATTGGTTTAAAGATGTCATCTCTGATTATGTTTTGAAAGAATGGTGCATTTAGTTAAGTTAGAGGTAAACCATGGGATGTTGCTGCATCATTCATTGGATTCGGGAGCCCGCCATAGTATTTATAATCGCAGAAAACATGGTGTGACCGGAGCACAAACCCCACGTAATAATTTGGGGGGTTTCAGATCAACAACGTCTTTACTACAATAATATAACTATTTATAGTGGATAGATTGTATAATTGGTTAACTATTTGCATCCCGGTCCCACATCTGACTGCAGCCTCGACAGCTGTGCCGGGCTGTCCGACACAGCAGCACACGCTAGCTAGCTAGGAAGAGGATCTACCAAAATGAGATCCTTTTGTTAGAAAAAAAATAATGTTACCGGATTTGAGATTAATGTTTTGTGTGAAATGATAGCTGCATTGAAGCCGTTTATACTGTGTCTACACGCCTGTATCCTAGTGAAAGCATCCCGTATAATGGCCCACGTTTGCAATGGGGGAAAAAAATCTAAAGCTAGGCTAACCATTGGCCTGCCCGCTAACTGCCCTGGACCACCGCTAGCTGACGCAAGTGCAGATATTTCCATCCAACCTTTTGGTTGTTCTCGTATCCTGTAACTCATCCAGGGAGCTAAATAGATGCTCCGCATCCCGGCTCATTAATTACAGTACAATTGAAAGAGACTATATTTTCTTACCTTCTATAACTATGCAAGAATTTCTCCAGCACGGTAGTAATCAATCACAACACATGAATGTGGTGGTTTAGGCGCGCCCTTATCCTGCAGGACGTTTCCGTTTGTATCCCTGTATTCACCAAACGCACAGAGGTTTTACCGTTTTCCGCGTGTATCAGGGAAATATGTGCTTCAGATATATGGATCAATTAGCAGGGGTTTCTAAAGAGAGATGTGGGAACGCGCATTCCTTGTTCGGTCATCACCCGCGGAAGACTAGAAATCGCCTATTCTCATCGTTATTAAATTCAATGGGGTACGTGGTCGACCGGCTACAGCACATGCGCAGTCCGACAGCACAGACCGCTTTTCCCAGGGCTGTGAATGGAGACCAGGCAGCAAGGGTGGGGGGTTTTGCATTCAACTTTCTCTTTTGGGGTTGTCGAGCAATTGGATTCATAGACGATTCTGAAGACTGAATGCGTTTGGTTCAAAATTCTTTTGTCCCAAAACACCAGCTCTGTAGCTTAAGACAGCAAAGAATGAAATACTCTTGTGCTCTTATCCCAGTCAGGATGGACTTGCCCTATAGTGACCAAATGCCTGTTAAAAGGTAATAAACTTTAAAATAAAGTTTGGGCTATTCATTTTAGGAGGCCACTCAAGTCAACTCAAAACAGTGAGTTGTGATTAACAAGTGATTTTTATTTAATTTTTAGCAATCAATGTGATAACAGTGTTTAGATTTCCAATATTCTCAATTCTCAATTGCCCTGTAACTAATACTTAACAAATTATATGACAGTAGACTTATTCAGAATAAATAGGGTTGTGTTTGCACTGCTGATAAACTAATGACAGCATGCAAAGATATTATTTTCCAGCATATGTAGCCTATCTCCAGCCTAGCCTTTAACATGTACTATTAAACATATAACAAATAACAAATTTTGTTTACCTTTCTTTGAAACTGCCGGAGCTTCCTGTGGTCGCTCCTTAGACTTTTTTGGAAGATCAAAAGTGCTCTTCATTTGGGACACATTGACAGTTGAACTCTGGTCTGAAATTGCTATTGGAACTTTTGACACTTCTACTTTTGATCGGAAGGATGAATGTCTTTGGATTTGATTTGTTTCTTTAACAATTTCAGCTACAGGTTTGTATGAAGCCACATCACTCGTTCTTACACATCTGCTGTTACTATGAACTGTTACATCTTTACTACTGTCTTGTAATGCTTGTGAGCGTTTTTCTTGTAGATCTGATTTTCCTTTTCTGACAGCATCCACTTGTACTCTCTCTAGGTCTGATGATGTTTCTGGAACATGTAAGGATTCTGACGAAGCATAAAGATTCACAGGTTTCTTGGACACAGGTGGAGGTGAGCTTTTGTATCTTGATCTTCTTTCTAAAAACACTTTCCTCTGCAACATGTCTAGGTTCCTTGGTTCCTCATCTGGTGATAGGTCTGCAATACGTGCACAGTAGTCAAAGTTAATCCCGCTTCTGTCCTGATCTTCAAGGAGTGAAAGTTCTTCCCAGGGACTGAGGTCAACTGACAGGCGCCTTGCACTAGTTGGTATGAAGTATGTTCCCCGCTCATCCCAAAGCTGACACATATCTTGGTTGATAGGCTTGTGTCCCAGTAGATCTTTGTTAAAATGAAACGTGTGTCTCCGCTTGACCCTCCCTTCTGAACGGAGGTGATCCTTGCCTCTTTTTGGTACATCTTCTGACATTAACTGTGCCGTTTTGAGTTTTATAAATGGATTTTTGGGTTTTTTAGGAACAGGAGGTGGTGGACCTTTAACTTTTGACTTTTCATTTGATACTTCCACATTTCCCTCTGATTCGGATGTTACCTTTAAATCTTGCCTTCTTCTCTCTGACTCCTTCTCAGGCATTACATGAGTTGGGGGCGGAGGGGTGATGACAGCGGAGAAGCAGACAAACTCACTCTCCTTTTTGAAACTGGCCACTTCCTTTATTCCATTGCAGCACTGAGGATCAGAAATCGCCTCACATTGTTCCAGTAATAAAGCCGGATCTCCTTGCTGTTGCGGTATGCTGGAGCTAGAGGGCTTAGTTGAGTTGGCATCAGACTGGTTGTCATCTTTCTTGGAACTACCATGGCGAGTATTGGCCCTTCTGGTAACAGCACTCATATCTTGTGTTTTGCTTGCAGTAATGCAATCTTTATAGTTTTCCCTGCCTTCCTCCATCTCTTCTTGAGCCTTCACAGCAGGTTCACAAGGAATGATCTCACACTCGTCATTGGTCTTCCGTCTAACAATCCTTTTCAACAAACCTCTGCTTTTTGGATTCGATGCAGTTCTGATTTCCCTGGTGTTTTGGTTGCCTGTCTCTCCTGTTCCTCTCCCTGTTGTTTCTGCCTGGGTAGCTCCAATAGTATTGGATGCTTTTAGCTGACACCTGCTGCCTGTCACTTCACCCAAATGTGGGCCTAAATTACTCTCCACACAACTATCAGCATTGGTTTCAGCTCTGTCTGTAGATGTCCTCCAGCTTGAGCTCTCGCCACTTGTTGCTTCTTGGGTCATTATTTGAATGTGGTCAGTTTGAATCTCCATGTTTTGTCCATTTGTTGAAACCCAGGTGTCGTCTCTCTCCAGAACAACAAAGTCTTCTTCATTTTCTTGTCCTTCAAAGCCCTTCCTCTGCTCCTCCATTGCTGCGGTCCCAAAACAGGCCACAGCCTGTCTCTCACTGTGTTTATTATTAGGCTGCTTGGACTTCAGTCTGCTCTCTGGAGCTCTCAAAACTGTTTTTGACTCCTCTCTAGCTTGAGTGGCATCCTGGCTGTTGCTAACCCCGCCCACCTGTTGCCCCTCTGTAATGAGAGGGCACTCGGGCTGACCTAAACCTCTGATTGGCTGCCAAGTTTGGGGGTCTGTACGTGCCACAGGGACAGTAGACTCCCGAGCATGCCCACTGACACAGATTCCGGCATCATTCGGAGGCGTCCCAAAGATGTCACAGTCTGGGTCTTTGGTGTACACCTCTGTTTCCTGGGTCTCTCCCGTCTGCTCAGAATGATCCAGTGAGTCCTCATCTTTGTCAGACAACTTGTCAAGCTTTTGACCCATTCTGTTTTTCGCTTCCTAAAAAAAAAAAAATATTTGTTTTATATGAATTAGGATTTTCTTTTATACACAGTATAAAAAACTAGTTTGTAATTTACATTTGCTGCTTATGTGTGTCAGGAAACTAAAATGAAACTAGATGAGAAATCACATAAAACTCATAAAAATCTATTTTGGGATCAAATGAATAATTACATTACGTTAAAGTTTCAGAGTACTACATAACCCAAGTGTTTGATCTAACATTATTTAAAACTTAAAAGTGTTCTTTCTGAGCCAGCCAGCATTCAGAAGTATCAGGCATTCTCAATTAGTAGAAGGCATGGCTAATTTGTTCTGTATGCTCTTCCATTTAGCCTGTCTATGGTTTATCATTGTTTTGGTTACAAGGGTTTGCATAAAGGTCATTTGGATACTTGATTCAAGTCATGAGGGCCTAATTACTGTTTTTATGAGCATCTAAGTGAAGAGGTGAAAAAAAAGTTCATGTATGAACATGAACAGTATGAACATTAAATGACGCTATTCTTAGTTCTTACTGTATTAGTTAGATGTTCTTTAAGTCTATTATTAAGGATGTATGTAGTCAATTTTACTTCTTTCATCTTGAGTTGAAGATGGAAGACTATCAAGAGGTGACTGAACCTCTTCACCCTGCATCTGCAATCATGTACTGGAGCTATTTCAAGCATTAGAGGTGTTGAGCGACATGTGTTTTTTGTCTTGGCATACCAACTTACATGTCTACTGTGTGTAAATTAAGCCACCCATTTTAAATTGAAAATATTTGCACATATATTTGTTTATTTAACTGTCTGACATTGTGACTCTTCCAAATCCAGGTACTTGACAGATGTAAGCACTTGCCTCTCCAGCCCAGTGTTATTTTTGGGATGGTGGCATTACAATAGCAGAGGCATTTGTGACATTGGCCTGTGAAAGCTCTTCTACTATAGCACTGTTTCCATGGCCCTCTCCTTTGGCTCTCATGCTTCCAATACTAAGCACCCAGACAGTTTATGAGAGGCGTGTGACTGGGTACAGGCTGTTAGCCCTATCCCAAGTTAGCCTTGTTTTTCTCTGATCACTACCAAAACTTGAGAGCACAATATTAGCTGGATATAAATTGCAATCTTGTATCTCTTAATGCATAAAATTAACCTCTACAGCACAATACATATACATTTACAGTATTGTTGGTTTCTCTTTCTACATTAGGTCAAAATATCACAGCTCTTCTACAATAACACTGTTAAATACCATACTTGTTACTCTTAGGTCTATATTTACTGTTTTGTTATGTCTATTGACAAAGTAATAGTACATAATAGTGTCTAAGTACAGCTAATGATTATAGTTTTGTACTTACAGACTGTAATTTATCAGGATGTTTCTCCGGCTGAAGTCCTGTACAACTTCTGAGAGGCCGTCCCTGAGCTGTCACCTTTCTCATGATGTCACCACTTCATTTGGATAATTCAATAAAACTGCTCTCTGCCTACTTCATTGTACTTAAAGAGCAAGTAAGTGAAAGTTACATGCTATAAGGTTTGTTTCTCCCTCTTTTTGTTGTTGTTGCAAAAACACAAAATAATACTATACAGAACAAATTGTTTATTTCCATGATAAATATTAACATGGACATACTTTAACAAATTATTAAAAAGTGCATTGCACATAAACATTGGCATTGTACCATACAGAAGACAATGAGGAGTTTCCACCAGAAACGGTCTTCTTTATTTGTTCATTTTGATCTGCTTGAAAACAACCAATGATAAACAAATGCCAATGAGGAAGTTGTGGATTGTCTATGATGACAGATGTTTGTAACGGAATACATTACACTGTACTTCAACTTTAATTAAAAGCAAAGTTGAAACTGTTACAAACTTCTTTCTACATAAAAAATATTAAGATAGCATAACTCTCACCCATCCTAAATGCAAAAGATAGTTCTCATTCCAGGTCATTTGAGGTTTATCATTCAGTGTACCACAGAGGCAGAACAATATCAAACAGATAAGACTAGTCATATATAGGATATTAGAAACGGAAGTCCACCAGTTGTTTATGTTTGCATACATGATATGCCATACGTTTCAAAGACAAGTTAATGATTGTTACTGGGAGTAAATGTGTTTTGTATGTACAGAGACCAAGACCATCAACAAAGATACTAAGCCTTCAATCAATATGATGGAGCTAAGGCTGAGTTTAAGGCACTTAAATACAAACCCAAAAGTACAAACTGTTGGCGAAATGAGGAGAGTCTATGCACCATGTCTAGTGAACAATGAGCTGGATGTGCTTATGGTAATCTTGTGGAAATGTAATAAATGCAAAATTGCAATAAAAATATATAACCGAGCAAGCCAGCAGCTCCAGTAGCATGGGTCAAATGAATTCTCAGCAAAATTGTCAAAAAATGCAAAAAACAAAACAAAAAACAAAAAAAACAACAACCCCCCCCCAAAAAAAATCACCCCTTTGGTTTCAGCATACCCAGCATGTGAAAACAGGAGCAACACAAATTCAAGTAAATGTACACATATACACAGTAATTCCTTATGGCACAGCAACTTAGGATCCGTGGCAGACAGCATTTAAACTTGAATCATAGTTCAAGTACATTAACAAAAAATATATTTTTATGCCATAGTCAAGAATGTCAGGAGATGTGCTGAAGCTTTTTAGTAATGTTTCTGTGCCTGTATTTTAAGGTAGTATTAGCTGCAATCAAATCTTTAGTTGATAAAGCGTGTATGTCTCCCTTTATATGAGACCTCACATATTTTTGTGCCAAACAAGCAGAATAAAATGATTTCAATTTCATAACATAACTTAAATGTGTGAATGTACAAACAACTGTTGTGCAACACTGTCATCATGCTCAGTCAAGTGCTTTAAGGACATGATCACATCAGTCATAAAATTGGACTCACTGGAGTGGCAAACACACAAGATGATGGTGGTCAGATACAAGACCCACCAACAATGACATGCTTTTTACACATATAATGTCACATTAAATGCCCTGGTAAAAAGTCAAATCTACAAGAACAAAAACTTATGAAACAGTCTTGATTCAGTTGCTATGCCGGTGATCCCAAATTGCAAACACGGATTGAGCGTGCTTTTAAATACTATTGGTGAGCTAATCTAAACAGTTTATGGACATTAGTGTGTTGCCTTGTTGTTTTTTTGTCGCATGAAGCATGTTGTCTTTTCTGTCTTTGCACAGTATCAAAGTGCTAGCTGTAAGTTGAACAGTGATCTTTAATAACAAAAGGTGACCAAAACCTCAACTGCAGTGTTCTGCTTTTCGGTCTATGGTCAGCATGACCGACCACCACTGGGTTATGGAAATTCCAGCTAACTGCAAGATACAAATCATACACCATTTTAAGTGAGAGAAAATGTCTTCAGTGGCTGTTTTCTAGAAGCAAGTACACCAGCCAGTGCTGAATCATCTAGTCCCAGTGTGTTTAGGAGCCTTTCTGTAAATGCAGCCTACTGCTGCTGATGCAAGAAGAGCTGGACAGTAGCATAAGCCAGCACTGATCAGGCTTCTGCACTTGCGTCTGATCACTGTGGAGGCACAGCTAAGCCCCCAGAGCTTCAGCTTTTCCAGGTCACATTTATTAAGGCAGAGGTCTGACTGGAAGCTGGCCTTCCACAGCCAAACTGGGCACTTTCTCAAGCTGCTCTGCCCTCTGTTGCATGAGTTCAAGTCCAAATCCGATCCCCACTCGTGGTATCTGCATCTGGAGAGGAACTGCACTCTCACAATGAGGGGTTAAGCCTGGGGTGAGATCTATGGCATCTGTTTGAGCATGAATGTGTCCTTGCACCTCCTCAGACATGCTGTCGGTATCCTCACAGCTCATGGGGGAGGCTAGTTTGGGCCGGTGGACGAATGGGACTCCAGTGGAGCAGGTGGGGCAAAAGTGACTGCAGGGCTGGACGAGGTTTGGAGTGATGACTCCAGTGGCCATGGATGGTAATACTGGACTAGAGGTGAAGACTGTCCCAGGAGGGTTGATGTATATTGAGGGGATATTACAATGACGTGAGGGGTTTAAGCGATGGGACCGGCCCCCTGCTGGACGATCACAGCGCCGACCCTGGGGCAGACGCAGACAGTCTTTACAGGACTGATATGAAGGCTTTACCTTCAAAGGGTTGCTAGTGCTTCCACTATCCTAAATTTGGACAGAAAAATATTAAATATTTCATATTTATTTATAAAACAACTCACTCAACATACATGTAGAAAAATGTCACTTACATCAAAGGCTGCAGGACAGCTGCGCTTGGCTGCTAGCCGGTTGCTGTTGTTAGTATTGAGGTTGGCAAAGCCTAACTGGCCCTCCTCCTGCCTGTCATCATCTCCTCTCTTTCCATCTGAGTTTCCAGGGGTTTGAGCCAGAGCAGCCATCTCTGCCTCCTCCTTCTTGGCCTCCTCTTCATCCTCTTCTTCCAAAGTGCTGAACTCCAATCGCAGTCTCATGTCCTCCAAAGGGTCCAGACGCCCACATGTCTGAGCAGCTGTGCCTTCTCCAGGTAGTGCTAAATGGGCCATTGGGAACCCATCATCCTCCAGCAAGGCATCCCTTTCTACATCTTCAATCTCTATGAAAACCCGCTCCATTCCGAGCAGAGGTGGGCCTCGTACTGGTGTGGATGGCTCACTGTCTAGTGCAGAATCTGACAAACGTCTGAAGTAGTAATTATAGTTCAGTGAGTCCAAGGGCTCCATTTCCAGTCCCATTCTGCAGGGGGATGCCCCACAGCCCCCCCAGGCCTCTTCGTCTCTGAGTCCAGGCGTCTCCTCTCCTCCAGTGGTGTGACCAGACGCCTGCAGATCATCAGAGCTCTCCTCATCAGTTTCAGGCCTCCAAAGTTTGTTATGGCGCTGTTTACTGTAGAACAGGGACAATCAGACTTACTGAAGTGGACTAGGTTCCATTCATAGGCTATGTAAAGCAGCATAGGCCTACTGCAACTTCATACATCATTACTGCAACTTCATACATCATTACTGCAACTTCATACGTCATAGGTTTTAATTAGAAAAAATATAAGCAGACAATATAATCAGAACATGGTAATTAATTTGCTAACCTTGCATCCAGGATTCCTTCATACTCAGCAAGCTGCTTCATGAAAGCAGCATTTGGCTGGGCTATGCTGCGTTTTTGCTTCACATAGTTGTGGGCTTTCTCCAGAGACCAGCCATACTCCTTCATGGCATAGGCAATAACAGTGGAGGCAGACCGGCTCACCCCCATCTTACAGTGCACCAGGCACTTGGAACTGTTTTTCCTATTGGACAGTCAAATACATTTACTTTTGTTGAGCAATGCATTCATTTATAACTGTCTTATTTTATATCAGGTAAGATTTCTCAGACGGTTGCATAGCAACCAGATTAACAGCTGCATTTCAGATCTGTCTGTTGTAGCTTTCGCAGCTGTGTCCTGCATTTGGATGATGACATTTTGTCAATGCTATGACAGCTTGTGTGTTGAAGACTAAACTACACTGACATCTAATGAATACATGTAATACTAGTTATGATACACAGCAGTCCATTCTCTAGTATTTTAGATATCCCTATATATACTATATAATTACTTACTTGGCTTTAACAATGAAGTTGTAGGTGTCATTCCAGTGGGCCAGAAGGTCTGTGGCTTCCTCGTCATATACTCGCACATTGTGGTAGGAGAACAGCCCAGGGAAGAAGTTGTCTATCTCCCTTGTAACATTCAGAATGTAACCCACTCTGCAATTAAAGACATGAAGTTGTTTATTTGCTGAAACATTCATATATTCATATATCTTTTCTAGTTATTATTTACACAGACTATAATTTTCAGAGGTGTATTACAGAAAACATGCAGAGAACAGAAATAGCAAGTTTAAACTATCTGACTGTAATGAATAAGCTCACCCGCAGTCCCTTAGCTCCTCTAGATTTGAAGCATTCCATTCAGAGCCCTATAACAGAAATCAATAGATAATGGATCATTTTATAAATGTTAAATGTACAAAATATAAGTAGTTATGTTTACCAAATACACATGGTCAAAGATTAGAGTGGCTTTGTCCATTTGTCCTAAAATTAAAAGCATCTCATTGTCGATAAACTCCTTGTAGTCTTTGAGGTTACAACTCATATGCTGCTCCAGCTCGTTACGAATCTGCACACAGAAGCATCGTTGTGTTTTGGTTTATCACAGAGTATAAACATTGTGCTTGTCAGTTTCTACAAACCTCCTTTGAGGTGATGTTCTCCAGGTCCTGAAACATCATGATGTTACGAAGTTTGGCTTTAATCAGACACTCTGTCCTCTCTCTCTCTGTTGGCCTGACAAAAAATAAATTTTTTTTTTTGAAACCTCAGTGATCCTGTGTGACTGACAATGGCACTTATATATATATGATATATATGACTGTTATATATGATATAACAGTAGTTCAGGCCTGTTCATTTTTCATAAAGTTCTCTCTCTTCTCTGTGTGTTTTGTATACTTTGACACATTTAGTACATAACATTTGTATCGCATTATATGATTTAGATTTTCACCTTTCTACAAAGGTGGCAGGAGAGTCTGGCCGTGTGCTCTCTAGATCTGTCATAGCATTCCACTCATTAATGCAACTTTGTTCTGAGGTGATGCTGCTCTCATAAAAGGCCATCCACGTGAGAGCAATGCCTCCTGGGAAATAGTTGAACCGACGTGACACCTCACATGCTTTATGTATGACCTGAAGGGCCGACCTGTGGGACATAGGCAAGATCAACAGGGTACTTCTTCAAAGTGACCAGTAGATGGCGTAACTATGAAACAGCAGTCAATTGCTATCCATTGTGAACTAGTTCTAGTTAATTATATTTATATTGTATAAATCCTGTCCGTTTTTTATTATAATTGTATATCAGGATATAAGATATTTTTGAGTTTATCTCTGGATATTTAAAAAAATAATTACATCCATTACCTCAGGAAATTAAAATTGCCCATTAAAAAGGGAATCCCCATCAAATGTACTCTTTTTTAAAATAAATAAATAAACTCTACATCAGAGATTACCCTAAATTACTGAATAAAAAAACAGTTAGACCAGATAGTGCATTGTGCTTATCTTTCTCAGTCTAATCCCACATACAGATCAAAGATTTACTCACCACATGGCCTGCACAGACACAGGCTTGAAGACATGTGACCTCCCTGCGGTGTTAACACTAAAGCCTCTGAGAAAAGATGACAAGAATTTAGAAGTAAGTTTAAGTCAGATAGAAAAGCGAGATGTTCATAGATGTTCACACAGTACACTAGTGTTTATGCCATTCACTCAACTCAGCCCCATGGAACATTCCCCCAACTCAAAGCCACACACAATGTTAACAGGTCAGCACGAAAACAAAAAAGGATGTTATTCTCTTTTCAGCCACTGGAGTGTACCCAATAGAAGATAATGGATTTATTCAATCAGAATTTACATGGTAAACAGAATCTCTACTGCTACAACCTCCTAAATCTAAGTCTCTCACTTGCCTCTAGGGCCACAAACAGAGATTAAACTAAGTAGATATCTAAACTAAACTAGTTGATTAAAAACACTGTTTTTATTTCTAATTTGGTTATTTAAATATATAGACTACATCTGTGCTACAGTAGTTTTCAGAAGTCCCAAGCTAAAACAAACAAAAGAAAACAAAAAATGCCATAAAACCCCACTTACCCATCTCCATCTAAGTGGATGTTTGTGTCACTCCACAGTGGTAATACCATCCCAATTGAACATGTTTTACTGCAGACAATTACACAAAACAAGTAACATATTAATTAAAAAACCCTTATGCCACGAAAGTAAAGGAAAGATCATACCTGTCTTTATCTGCAAAGTCCATTCCCAGAACAATATTTTCCTCAGTGTCTTGATGACCATTGGTGTAGATGACGACCATGTAACGCACTCTCTCTGACCATCCACTTTCTAAACGTACAGCCTGGGAGAGTATAGATCTTTTACCATATCATTTTTTAAACAATATTTTGTTAAAAGTCAGTTCAAAGTTAGATCTGAAGAGAGGTGGATTTTATTCTTACCAACTTAATGCGATCTTCAGAGCGGAGGATCTTAAACATGACCTGAAGGTGTTGAGGTAAATCTCCTAGATCAAATACAATCATATTTGTACATTTTGATATAATCATAGACAATTCCATATAGGTAAAAAAAAAACTCAGACTAGTGTTTTTCTTGAGCTCAATTATAACAGGTTTTACCTGCATGTTTATGATGAGTGGGGGTATTTGGCTCCTGTGCAATGCCACCTTGTTGAAGGAAGAGGGCAGCTCCTTTCACCATGAAGAAACTCTCACTGAGGCTGAAAAGATTAAGCATCAGAAGAACTATGTGAAAACCAAAGGAAGGTACAAAAATCGCAATAAAAAATGTAAAAAAAAATAAAATATATATATATATATATATATATATATATATACTCTGCGTCGTCATGTAATAACTGTGTAATAAAGAGAGAGGCATCGGACATAGATGATCTACAGCTAGAAGTGATCCTATCATCCAAGCAAAGACAATTTAGTGGATATTTTTTGACTCTTAGGCATTCCTGCTGCATGTGAAATTGAACTCGTAAAGACTAAGCTCCGAACTGTGCTGATAACAATGATCAGCTCCCATTTGCAATGGGATGAGCTCGAAGCGCTGGAGGATTAGAGCATGTCAGAGTTGCTCTACATAAAAGTCAAAATACAAGAATATAGGAATACAGGAGACCATGCAGCTACTGATTTATCTGAGATTGAGTCTGTACAAATAGAAGCAACCCAAAGCAATGTAGCAGACATTATGGAACAGCCAGGGCAATGGACAAGTAATACCACAAAATATGGCAGATGACACCCTGGATGAACAGACAAAGTTGGTCAAAGAAATCGAGGCATTGCAACTCAAGTTATCATTAATGCAAAAACAAAGTAAAAGTAAAGCACCTAGTGAGAAGCCACTTATCACATACCCTGCCCACCTCCAGGCCACCACTCCTTGGAATAAAGACTTTAAAATCTCTGGCCAAATCAGGTACCCAGGACAGAAAGATTGTCTCACTTTCTCTAGTCTGGCACATCAAATAGAGCATGGGCTAACCAAGGGCTTTCCAGAAGCAGAGATTGTGGACGCTGTCATAAGGGCCATCACTCCTAGAATGCAACTCTGCAGTTACCTCAAAGGTAAAGCAAACCTGTTGCTCCCTGCTCTGAGGAGGATTCTCCGGTGCCACTACCAAGAGAAAAGCGCAACAGATCTACAAGCAACTAAGCTCTGAGGTGCATGGTAATAAAGAAAGTTTTGTCATTCGTGCCCTAGATCTCAGACAGAAAATACTTTTCACCTCTCAGAAATCTGAATCTGGCCTGAAGTATGACCCTGTCCTGTTGCATATCATATTCCTTCACACACTGTTGACTGGCCTGCAGAATGACAACATAAAACGTGACCTACAACTAGCTAATGTTTCAAATTAATTGTTGCTAGAAAAATTACTGCTGCCTGTGCATGTGAGAATGAAAGACAAGATTAAAAAAAGCTGCTTGCCCCACACCGTGTTGCTGTCCATTCTGCACAGACCAATGAGAGTCCAGCTGAAAGAAAAGAAAAAGCACCTGCTCCAAGGAATAAACCAAAAGTACAACCAGACATTTTATCAGAACTAATAGAAATGCAATCTAACATGACACTGCTGAGTGACTTAAAAGCTGAAGTCTCACAGATAAAAGAGTTCATGCAATAGCCCCAGCAACTCATTCAAGCGGACCAACCTCAAAGTTCTGTCACCCCACCTATGGTCGTTCCTCCTGCAATACCAGCTCAAATGCCATGGTCCAGCCCATATGTGCATCAGAACCCACAGAATGATCACATCACCCCCTGATGTTTTGTAGCACCTGGTCCTAGGTGCAGGAAGCGTTGCTTTGGCTTCCAACAAAATAACATTAATGACTGTCCACACTGTTATGCTTGTGTCAGTGATGAACATTTCTTAGCAGGTTGCACGATGAGAGGAGCCCGCCTGTCGCACCCTTTAAACGGGCAAGGGTCGCTCCTGTGGGACCAACAGTGACCCACATGCCAAAGGTTTCCCAGAACTGTGCCAACTGTAAGACTGGAGGAAATAAGAGGAGACTCAGACAATGTGCAGCATGCAAAATGTATTTTATTGTTCCAAGTCCTGACAAACTAAACACTGGACTGTCCATAAAGAATAATATGAACATGTGTCATGTAGGGCTGTAACGGTTAGGGAATATCTCCTGTGGTGCAGTATAGCAGCTTAACACCGCAGTATGCTGTGACACCCCCCCATTCCCCACCTCCGATGATGCGCTTTTTGCGCAGATGCACATGTACCTTGGTTGTTGCGCGGATACAGCGTGTGTAGTGTGGGAGAAGTAACATTTGGCTTTGAAACAAGTGCCAGTGCCATCTCTCCAGCTCTCACTGTGGCAGGTCAAGTCAGAGTCCTGCACCAGGTCAGGTACCTGTGTAGAGAGAACCCTGAGCAAGCGGAGCAGGGTGTCCGCATAGCGCGATTGGGCAACGGCTGCACTTACCTCCATGCAGTGCGGACGTAAGGCAAGGTACTCTCCTTAGCCCTGGATTAGTCTTGGGTTAGTCCTGGGTTATCACGGGCATGAGCGGTAACAGGTGGAATGTTAACAGGTCTGGGTGGGTGCGGGTCTCTAAAAAAGGACCTGTGCAGGACTCGGGTCACGCTGGTCACGTGCGGTGATTGCGGTAGCTCAACATGCATCGTGGTGGGCCTCTTAATACCGTGGTGAATCATTTTTGCGGTTATCGTGACAGCCTTAGTGTCATGTGTTACAGTCCAATCCAAGTCACTGAAGCATAGCACACATGTCAAAGTGGCCCCATTAGTTGGACAGAAGTATTTGATTGACTGTTACATACAAAAGACAGAGACAAGAGCATTATGGGACTCTCAAGTAACAAGTGATGGAAGGAAAATCTGCCACATGTAAAACTCAGACATTTGTGAAATACTGGAAGGTGACAATACACTGGCAATAACAGCTGCGAATGAAGAAGGTATGCCCTATATTTGCTGGCTCGAAGTAGCATTTAAACTGCCAACAAAGCACCTACCACTGAGGTTGCTGTTCCTACACTTGTTTTGTTTTGTCCCTACACATACTTGTCCATGCCCAAGCCTCTCTACCGAGACATGAAAGACTATTTGCATGACTTCATGGCACAAGGCTGGGTAGAAAAATCACACTCACCTTACGCTGCCCCTGTAGTGTGTGTTCGGAAGAAGTGCGGAGGGCTCAGGTTATGTATAGACTACCATGAACTCAACAAGTGAACAGTTCCTGACTGTCAGCCTATTCCCAGGGTTCAGGATATCATGGACGGGCTGGGAGGCAACTCTTGGTTCTCCCTACTTGACCAAGGGAAAGCCTACCACCAGGGTTTCATAGCTCAAGACTCCTGCCACCTGACAGCATTGGTGACCCCCCTGGGGCTTATACGAGTGGATCCAAATCCCCTTCGGCTTAATGAACGCCAGAGCTGCTTCTCAGCACTGTATGGAAACTTGTTTGGGAGACCCAAGAGATGAAATCTGCATTCCATACCTCAATGATACCATTGTGTTCAGTAAGTCATTCACAAAACAATGTTAATGATGACTGTATTACAAAGACTTTGTCAAAATGGTATTAAACTAAAATCCAGTAAATGTGAACTGTTTAAAGAAGAAGTGCGTTATTTGGGGTGTATTGTTTCAGCAGAGGGCAGTAAAATGGATCCAGCAAATACTGTTGCAGTCAGGGCTCTTAAAGACAAGCCACCCAAAACAGTAGGAGAGCTGAGAGCTATCATGGGTCTACTGAGCTACTACAGACAGTATATAAGAGAGTTTTTCACGTATTGCTGGTCCGCTCTACCACTTGCTCAAGACCCCTGCTGGCACACAAACAACAGACAGCCAAATAACAAAGACAAAACAGACAAGAAAAGTAAAAGGTGTCCCCTCAAACACGCCAATTAAATGGACTCAGTACCATCAGCAGATTTTGGAAAAGTTGATCAGTTTTCTTGTAGAGCCACCCATTCTTGCTTTCCCAGATTTCAGTAAACCATTTATACTCCACACTGATGTTTCAAACCAAGGTCTGGGTGCAGTATTCTACCAGGAGCAAGCTGGTAAGATGCGAATAATACCTTATGTGTTCCGCACACTCACTGAGTCTGAGAAGAATTACCACCTACATTCAGGAAAACTTGAGTTTCTTGTGCTAAAATGGACGGTCCGTGAGAGATATAGGGACTACCTGATTGGCGCATCATGTACAGTATACACGAATAATAATCCACTTACGTACACGTTATCAACAGCAAAACTAAATGTGACCAGATGTCGATGGGTAGCAGAGCTTGCAGATTTTCACCTCACAATAAAGTACAGACCTGGACGTGAAAATGTGGATGCTGACAGCTTATCATGCATGCCATTTGACATTGAATCAATAATGAAAACATGCACAGAAGAAATCTCATCACGTGCAGTATAAGCCACTGTTCAAGTGATAGAAACAGACTCAAGTACACAATGGTAAATGGCAGTTACTCAAATGAACAATAACAAAAAGCTTGTTCCTATCCAAAGCAAAGACAAGCAAAACCCAGAGGAATGACTCATGTATTGGTCCTGTCATCACCTACCAGTATTCAGGCACAAAACCCAATGGCCAAGAGTATAAGTCACTTAGCATGCCCACCAAAAAAATGTTATCGGAATGGGACAGATTAACACTGACAACATTCTCAGATGCCAAACAACAGTAAGAACACAACTTGTTTTGCTGGAAACATACAAAGAGACAATTATGAAAGCACAGCATAACGAAATGGGACATCAAGGGGTTGACAAAACGTCACTGGTCAGAGACAGATTTTTCTAGCCTCAAATGGGACAACATATCGAATGGTATGTGAACTGTTGTTCATGCGTAAAAAGTAAAAAGCCAAGTCGAGAAACAGGAACCCCTCTAACAAGTATTGTCATGTCCCAACCATTTGAATTGGTGTGTATAGATTTCCTTCATGTTGACAGATGTTCAGGAGGCCCAAGCTTACACCACAACATCAAAATCAGGAAAGATAGTTGCAGACAAAATATTGAATGACTAGTTTGGTTTTCCGTCACAAATACATCATGATCAATGGGATGAGTTTGAAAATCAACTTTTCGCTAAGCTGTCCAAACACTGTGGTGTGGCAGGCTCTAGAACGACCCCTTACCATCCGGAAGGAAATGGGCAAGTTGAGAGATTGAACAGAATGCTGTTACAAATGCTGAGAACTCTCACTGAAAAAGACAAGGCAAAATGGAAAGAGTCACTAAACAAAGTAATTTTCGCAGGCTTCTCCCCATTCTACCTGTTATTTGGTCAAGCTCCACGACTGCCTATAGACATTCTATTCAAAGTGACACAGGAAATGGACAAACGACCAGCAGTATATTAAAAAGTCAAATGCAAGAAGTCTATGAAATAGCAAAAGAAAAGTGTAAAAAGTCATAAAAAAAAAAGAAGAAAAAGAAACCATGGTGTTCTCATGGTTCCTTGGGAAAAGTTCTGTCGCATCCTTGTGAGAAAGATGACCCCTAGAGGTGGCAAAGAAAAACTGTGCAATCTCTGGGAAGACAGCATCTGTAAAGTGGTGAGACAAGTATACAAAGATCTCGCCATTTATGAAGTCGTACCAGAACAAAGTAAAATCAGAGACAGTAGAATATTACATCGTAACTTACTCCTACCTTGTACCCACCTACCACTAGAGCTACCCCTCATGTTGGCACACACAAAGAAAAGAAACAGATCTAAAGAAAGAACACCAACAGCTGCCCAAGAAGAAGAAAGTAGTGATGAGGAGGACGACTCGTACTACTGCAACTATCCCACTGTATCTCAAGCAGCAGTGCAGCTGCAAGCAAATGAAAATGTGCCACCAGGAACAGACTGTGTTAACGATACTGCAGGTACAGATCAGGATGTAGAAGAAGAAAACACACCAGTATCCCCACAGTATCCCATCCTGAAAGAGAAGAATAAGAACACATCCAGGAAGAGAGGACGAATCAAAGAGCAGCAACAACCATCCAGGAAGGAGTGTCATCTCCCAACAACACAACCGCCAGTGATGACCTCCCAGCATCCTCGAGGAGCGACCCCATGTAGCTGAACCCGAAACCACATCCAAACATCCACCAAGGGTTTTCACCTAGAATGAACTGGTCTTCCTGTTGCATCATCTGGCCAGCAGCTTACCAGCAGCTCTGTGGTCTACAAGCAGCAGAGACATTTTGGAGGTACCCAAACATGTTCTATTATGATTACCAGTCATTCTATTGACGCATGATAGCACAATAAGAGACATTTAACATTTGGTGATTTAGAAATCGTAATGAACACTAATTCTGCAACAACACTAGCATTAATATGGAATTCAGTCCTGAATTCCAGGACTGTTGTGTAACAGATAAGGGTCACATACGAGTAATACTATTGATACAGATAGTGCAGTTAAAAAATAATTATAAAAGGCTTAGGGAATGTGCAATTAAAACTGTACATAGGCTTAGGGGATGTGCAATCAAAATTGCACATAGGCTTAGGGAATGTGCAATAAAACGGCACAGAGGCTTAGGGAATGTGCAATCAGAACTGCACATAGGCTTAGGGAATGTGCAATAATTAATAGAATACAAGAATGCAAGGGCTTGCCTGTTAAGAATAGTTTAAAGGTCCGGTTGGTGCATCACTCGTGGTCATACTTTGTCTCATATTTACTTAGTTCTATGGTGTTTGTTTATGTGGTGCTTTGTGTTGTGCTGTCCTATTTTTTTTTTTGATAAAGCATGTTAGCCCCTGTCCCAAGACAAATTTCTCCCATGGGAGACAATAAAGGATTAGTTTATCTTATCTTATCTTACAGTGATTTAGAGACAAGCTGATGTAATAGGGTGTAATAACCTCAAAAGCTGAAAGTGACAAGTTGTAATGAGTGACCGAGGTTTATAATGAAACTGTGTATGCTAAGAAGACCATAGTGAGACATACTGTCCTTTGGTAACAACTGAAATAACATAATACACCAGTGTCTGTGTACACTGGTGTATGAATGTGTGTGAGTGTGAGTGGGTGAGTGGTTCCTTGTTGTAAAGCGCTTTGAGTGCCTTGAAGGTGGAAAAGCGCTATAAAAAAATGTGACTATTTACCATAACATAATGATTTTGCATTAAGATACTGCTAATGGTAATACCTAAACATGTTTATTTTTCAATAAGCTGTAACATGTTCCATAACATTACATGCACTTGACATATTTCTAAGTTCTAAATATTAGTGTTTTGAGTCAGATGTCGGGATGACATCTCATTTCCAAGGGGTGTGTGTAATGTTTGTAAAACAAGACTATTTAAAAATTATATAATTTCTAATACAATATTACTACTGTTAAATATAGAATTCATAATAGGATTTATTTTAAAAAGTAATTTCGTTTTATTGGTACATGATTATTATTTGCATTGCATGATTATATTATATTATACTGTTTTCTGGTGTTATGGTAAGATTTTTTTATGAAGCACATCCGGTTTGAACAGCAGGGGGAGCTCTGGTTCGGTCTTGGATCATTAAAACCATTGACTGAAGACCTTGAGATTTACTCAAGTTTTATCCCCTTTTTCAGGGGCCGTGGTAGTAACACTTACCATTGATTGTTTTTCCTGTCATCATCACTCCCAAAATCCTACAGACAAAAGCAAGAGGCAAAAGGATTAGCCGTGACATAGCACCATCTACTGGCCATGTTCACCTATGCCGCTACCGTTTTTCCCTTTATAAACCCAATAAACAAGTTTAGAACCACGACAAACTATTCATCTGTCTCTCTACAGAGTAATATGTTTTTACTAACTTTCATTCGCGTGATGTTTGTGATCATTGCCAGAAACTTCTAAATTTTAGTACAATTTAACATAAAACAATGCAAACACAAAAAACTATTTCACCCTTATTTTGTAGGCCTATATAGGCCTAGGTAGAATATCTACATGGACTTTAGTTTATGTAATGTGCAATTTGGTACGTGACTGGGGGAAATGACCACGTTGTTCTCAAAGCTAAAGCCAAAAGCCCCCTTACCCCTCCCCTGGCAGGATTTTGTTTACAAATCCTCTGCTGCAATAACGTCTCACAAATACCAATACAATACGATATCAAATAGCCCCTCACGTAAATTCATTCCGTAAATTGGCTGTTAAACCAGCACCACCCATCAACTGTTAAGTTTGTATACGTGCCCCGATAGAAGGTTCCTGCGCCTCACCCCTAAGTGCTCCATACAAAGAGTGAGCAGCTGTGCCCTGCTTACCTCCCCAGCACTGCTGTTGGCCGTGCTCGCCGAGGATGCTGCACTGGGGGTGGGAGAGCGCTGCAGAGTCACCAGGGCCATAGTCGGTGCGCTGCTGGAGGAGAGAAGGGAGGGGAAGAAGAGGAGGAGCGCTTATCTGGGAAGACGCGCGGCAATAGTCTGTCACCGGGGAGAAAATGCCTAGTCAGAGTCCCATCCAGTAGCACCTGACATTCGGCAGGCGCGCGATGTAATTCCCGCTCCTCCGCCCTCTGCAGTGACGGCCCGCATCAGCAAAATCGATTGCGCGCCAGTGGTTTGTACCAAGCATAAAATGAAAGAAGTCCGAGGTTACGCCGCCCGAGCGCAGACTACACAAACAAATAGAGCGCAGGTTGCAAGCAGGGCAGAAATGACATGCAGCTTTGCCGGATGCTTCTGATTGGCTGGCCTAGTTCGCGTGTGCGCTGTCATTGGGCCAATGTTGTCAAGGTGCCTGGCCAGACTACTCTTCAATACTAAAGGCTCAATAACGACGTCTCTTGTTATAAAACACACGAATATTATAACACAGACAGATATAACGAAAAAATTATCAACTTTAATAAAATAAATAAAAAGGGCAACTTGAAATAACAGTGTATTTTACAATTTTGTAAATCCTCTCTCTAAAATAACAAAATAAACATTCTTTGGCAAGTTATTTCTGACACTGAGCAATTTAGCATAAACACAAATTATTAGCATACAGTGCAGTGGTTTCTGAAAAATCCTGAACAGAGGACATTCTCTTAAAACATCGCTGTGCCATACATTTATGGAGATGTGTGTGAGCAGGTGTCTGCCAGCACCTGCTACAAGGAGGATGTGTGCTCTGCCCCAGACTCGTGCTCAGCTCCCTGCTCTTCCATAGATCGGCCCAAAGTCTCAATGGGCAGGAGTTGGGCTGCTATCCCCGCCAGCAAAGCACACACCCAGTATACAGTCAACGTGAAGCTGGCCGAAAATCTCAGCAACACCTAGAGCAAGAAAAAGATGTCGTGTAAATATAGAGAAATCATATTTAAAGGAGTGTTATTCTGCTGAACCCATCATAACATTTGGCACCATGAGAGGAAGCCAAAACTATCCATGTAAAACAATGTAACTACAGATTGTACCATAACAAATATGATATGATTTAATGCTGTAATGCAGTTACACTACAAATCATTGTTACATATAAGAACCCCTATAAACAAGTATACATACTTGTGCCACAAAAGGAGTTAAGAGAGCTCCCAGTTTGGCAAAACCACTGGATGTCCCCAAGGCTAAAGCTCTTATTTCTGTGGGAAACACCTGGAGAACAGAAATGCAGTGAACATGTTTTCACATAAAAAGGATAAACTAATTATTCAATTTAGATAAATGCCCCAAATCTTTCTTTCCTCTCAGCATTACTACATCCCTGTGAGTAACTGACAGTATTTTAGTTTTGTCAAACCCTAGCCTCTATCCTCAAACCCCAGCCTTCATCCAGATGAGTAGTGTCTTTATAACCTGTCAAAATTTTGGCCGTAACTTTAACATTGGCACGTTCTAGAAGTCAACACCATTATGAAGCCTACAGAATTTTTCACAGCTGCTCATACAACCATAAATTTGGACATATCACAAAATGTTATAAAACAAAATTTAGCTTTTCACTCATTGTAGAAATACTATAATTAAAAGATAGAGAATAAATGAACACTTTTGGGCTTACTGTATATTTACCTCTGGCGTATAAACAAAAACTACTTGGTATCCTCCTGAGATAGCAGCTCTTGCAACAAAAATCAGGATTGTAAGCGATACCCTACACAATAAAAATAAGTTAACATGGACATCTCTGGTGCACTTCAGATTAATATCAAAACGGTTACAAACATACTTACCTCCCAATGCAGGCATACATGGGCAGGATGCACAAAGCAAACATAAAAAAACTTAGTGTCATGCTCCTTTTTCTACCAATTCGATCAATTGCAAAAAGGACAATTAAAATACCTATCGAGATTTAACACTAATTACAATATGGACATGGACATAGGGATATGATGAGCTACCCACATATTATTTTAATATTTAAATTATTCTTGTGATAAGAGCATTCACCAGGGAATTCAGCAAGAGTAGTCCATAAAAGATCCTTGTAGTCCTCTGTTGTTAAATAATTGCACTCCAGTCGGCATTTCCATTCTGCCTTCGCCCCTTGTGTTGCTAAAAAAAACAAATTTTGCAGTTATTTAGTAAAACATATCTTTTTTGCTTTGCACTAAAATATGATACAAAACGAGAAATGCCCTACTTCCACATGAGTCTCCGTCTTGGTACATTTCAGTTGTTAACAAGACAATACCGTAATAGCAGAATGCATTTGCAAGCCTGTACAAACACACAGCCATGTTGGATTTCCATGTTTTTTGGAGACGCCACATTGCTTTTCCTGGAAACTGATCCCAGCCTTAACCATATTCTAATCTAAACCCTAATCTTTAACCATTATCTGAACTTTAAATCTTATTGTTGATCTAATAGTAAAGGAGTTACATCATGGGGACCTGATTTTTGTCTACATATGATAAATACTGTACACCCACACACATCAGTGGTTTAGTTTACTGGTCTGCATTACTATGGGTCTTATTTCTTTCAAGACTTAGTACAATTTCTATTGTTACTAACCAAAGAAACCACAAAATAAGAGTGGTTCGTAGATACTGAGGAATGAAGAGATCTTTCACTCGCCCGCGATTGTATTGCTAAAATGAAATAAAACAATATTAAACATACAGCTGATCATATGAAATAATATGAACTGCGTGTGTATAGGACTTACAGGACTCCTAGAAATAAGTCTTCCCTGAGGTAGAGACTTCTTGTTATCTTTTGCAATTTGCTCTAAAGTTTTCATAGCTTCATCACTTCTTCCTGCCAAGACGTCAAAGCGAGGACTTTCTGGTAACCACTGGGCAGTAAAAACAATAAGTTACTGTAATACAATGTTGTGGCAATAAAGAATATTTCATTTATTAAACAATGTAACTAAGAGATGAAATACTTACATGAGAAAAGAGCAAAAACACAGCCATTGGAATAACTGACAGACCAAGAAGCCATCTCCAGCCAAGTGTGGGCATGACAAACAGGGCCAAGACGACCTCACAAACAGCACCAAGAGCCCAGAAGGCCTGTTTCGCACAAAGAGTTTTGTCAGGTGATAAAAAATATACGTTTCATTTACAATGAAATCAATCATGTACCGCAATGAGCATGACACAGATCCCTCTCGCTTTCACTGGAAGGAATTCTGAGTACAGAGTTACTCTAAAGACAAACAAAAGTTAAAACAATTCCACATAAATGCTTATCACATTGTTAACCTTGCCCATAGGCGTTAGTATTATTATTAGTTACTTACGCCTGAGGGGCTCCTCCAATACCAAAACCCACAAATGCTCGGAGGGTTATTATCCAGCTATACTGGGGAGCAAAAGAGCTCAACAAACCATAGTACAGAGTCCACAGCATACAACCAATGAGCCCCTATGAAACATTCACATTCAGCATGATAATAGGCAATTGTGTATTGAGAAAACTGAAATACGCATAAACACACTTACTGTTCGTCTGCCATATTTGTCTGATACATTGCCCCATAATGGAGAGCCAATGCTCATCCCAATAAACACCACCTGAAAATGCACAGATTTTCAAACTCTGCATTTAAATTTAAATGAACAGATGATGTCTGGTTGAACACTTACTGATGTTAAAAGAGCCACTTCATAGCCAGGCAGTCCCCACTCACAATGTAACTGGGGTCCCAAAATGCTGAGGATCATCATCTCCATTGCATCTCCAATCTGATCAGAGTGCAGGACAGTTCATTTAAATGAGTGTGTACTTTACACCTGCATTTGTTGTGTGATGTCAGTTGCTGATAGTAGACACCTGTCTTTTGGACCTGTGTAGTTTAAATGCACTCCTCCTGGAAAGCTGCTACACCCCAATGATCAGACACAGCCTAGATCCAAAAACCTATGAAAATGTCCATGGCTATAGTAGATCCTTACTATCAGTACTTCCATCACACCTGGGAATCACACCTATGATCTTCTTACTGTGAGGAAAGATTGCTAACCCACTGACCAAGCCATTGTTTTGTGCATGTGCAAAACTTACCCATGACAGGCCTGTAAATAGACTGATTTTCCACTGGTATTTTCCAAAACCAGTAGCTTCTAAAGCATCATCAACAGTAAAAATATCTAAAGCACAGAACATACAAATTAAATTGTTATCTCACTTAGATAATTGGTCTCATATGATGAAAATACTCTTAGCGTCATAGCATAATGTACAGGACATATTTTCTGGCAAGTTGAGAAACTTATTTTTGTAATATAAATATTATTACAAATTCACAATTTCAACATAAACAAACCACTTGTCTTGAGGGGCTGTTATTTCCCATAATTTATGATCATACTGGTAATATTGTATGAGGCTAACAATATGATAAAATGCTAAAATTAATACCATTACTGGCTCCATAGATGGTTGCTGGTCCTCCAGTAGGACGCCTTTCTGTTCCAGTGTAAATCTCATTGTCTGTGCCCAAGTCCTCATCAGGTTGGGAGATTACGACTTCCTCCGTTCTACAAAAGAAAGCAAAATACAGCAGCATAAAGATCCATGGTTATAACACTTGCAATGGTTGTTCAAAACGGCCGAATCGCACCGCCCAATTCGCGTCATTCGCGCAGCAGAACTTTATTCGCGCGTCAACGCGCCTTTACATAGGGTTAACGTGGAAATGATTTGCCTTGTTCGCACCATTCGCGTTTGGTGTGGACATACCATTAGGTTGTTTTCTGTGTAAATAAACCTACCTTTGGCGCAAGTCATTCTTGTAAAAAACCGTGTGATACAACTTCTCCATAGCTGTGTCTGTTCCATCAGTGTTGTTGTCCTTGTCAAACCTGCTAATCCAGTTACCGAGCCAGGCTCAGGTGTTTCTCTGACACAGAGGAAAGGAGATGCGACGAAGAGGAGGAGCTAATGCTAACACCAACAAAAAATACGAACATTTATCAAAGGCGGGAAGCAAATAGCCCTACTGAGATATTGGAACAAGGATTTGCAGAATAAATAAACAATTGCATTCCATACAAATAATAAATGCTGATTTATACAAAGGCGCGTGTTGTGCTCTTGTGTCGAGCTATTAAGTTAAGTTAAACAGTTTCAAGTCTCCCTGGGCTCTCAAGGTTTGGCCTCACAGTTACTAAAAAGGACATTTATCTAATTTTTTTTTTTTTTTTTTTTTAAATCACTGACATTCATTGTTTAATAAAAGCCTGCCCGAGCTGTCCTGTCAAAAGATCTCAATGTGTTGGGGTGGGTGAAGAAGACGTGATTCCAACGGCTCTCCTGGTTAAGAAAGTGTGTTTTTAACGGCTGCCCGTTAACCGTAGACCCACCAGGACGGCATGAACTGTTGTAAGTGTATTAGTAAGAAATAAAGATAGAGTGCTCATTTCATAGCTCTATATAGGCTATATATTACAGTATATTGCATATACTGTACTTTAGTAGCTTACTACAGCACAGATAGAACTACTCTTTTGTTATTATTTATCTTATATATATTTTTCTATTCTTTATTGCTCTTTATTGTCTTCATGAATAAAGCGAACTAGGCTACCCCCCTAACCCTGAAGGCCTAACACTTTTCCAGTTTTCCAGTTTTCTCACCTCACAGCTCACAGGTTTTTGTTTAACCACTGGATAGACCTGCTGTTTAGTGCAGGTGTTTTTTGAAAGACATAGGAAGGCTTACACTAAAGGTTTAATGTTTGAGAACCACTGTTTGACCTAAGAGGTGACAGAGAGACAAGAATCTCTTTGCTCACATGAATAAATTAGTTGGAAGTTTAGTTGTGTGGCAGTAATGGGACTGTGAAGTTTATTTGGCTCTCTTGTGCTGTGCTGTTGATTTAGATTCATTTATCGAAAAATAAATAAATTAATTAACAGTGACAAATATTTGGAAAACCAAGTAGGCCCAAGCTTAGATTAAAACGCATGTATGCATCAAAGAATCAAAGATTTCATTTGAATGGTCTTCACTAGATGCAGTGCAAACTTACCCATCAGTATTTGCATAATGAATTAGTTTATGTTAATACAGGTTTTCCATTATATTCTCTGATGTCACATTTTGTTTGGGCCAAAGTTAAGGTAGTAATACAAGATGCCTTTGTTGATGCTTACAGGAAGCTTGAATTTAAATTTTAAACAGACGGAATAAGAGGACCGTGTTACCCACTGGCCACAAGACTGACAAAACCATTCAGAGCTGGAAAATGAGAAATCAATTCTATGAACTTAATATGAGTTATAAAGCTATGCTTTTCCTATGTTAAAACTTAATCTGTGTTACTGTTCTCTGTCTCAAACAAGTCACATAAAAAATCATAAATATGTTAGTTGCTGTCACTGTATGGGCCTAATCCCCACTGACATAATGTACAGCTAGTAATTAGTTTGAAATCCATCTACCTAATCAAAGATCAGTAATGCAATACCTAGACTGTAATTTTGTGAGGAGAAAGGTGAGGACAGGTCTCCAAGGGGATCAAGTTTCCACATCCTTGTGTTAGCCTACATACGCTCTCCAGGTCCAAGGCTGAGTGAATGTTTGCTGCCTGAGCTCCATGAATGTTTAACCACCTCACTGCTTCCAGGGCCAGATCGCTCATTACAGCCTCATTACGACCACACAGAGGCACTGGACAGGCACCACCGCACTACCACACTTCTCCACTCTCTGTGTCCAAAAGCAGATCAGCACTGTCCCCACGATTTGTGACTGTAGTGCTTCTGGTGGTGAATTTTTTGGAAGAAAGTGAAGCAGAGAGCGGTAGGACAACATCTCTGTGCAGGACGGACAGAAACTCAACATTTCAGAAAGTTTTCTCTTTGATCTGAAGTTTTCTGAAGTTCTTCGACACTCAGCCATGACACACCGGACACTGGAAGTGAGAGAGGTAATCTGAAGTGTGTTTGATAATGCATTTATAGATAATTTTTTAAGCAATATGCATTCATTCTTACATCTTTGTCCATTAAACAATAATATTAAGTAGTTTGGGATGATTAAGTGAGGGACATCGTATAGGACATCCTATATGATTCTACATGACCACCTCCTGTTTTCCCATCTTTTACCATTCTTCCATTATTACATGTGGATAAAGATACATAACTTAAATAAAAATATGTAAAAACAATAAAAATTAGATTGTGGTTGCCAGCCTTTCCATTGGAGATGATTTAACTGCACTGAAAAAACAAAGAAAACATGCATCCTTACTGTGAGTGGGCTTCCATCTGCACAAAACTGATTCATATTTGGCCTTGTGGACTGGCCCCCCTTGCTTGTCTCCATGGAATTGTTGTTCCTTTGGGTATAATATTCCTCAGTCTAGCACATACAATATCTATTTTACCTATCTCTTTGCAAAATGTTGCCAAGTAGAGTTTTAACTTTCTGTTAACATGGAAATCAGCAGGTGACGCGCTAAATTACACAGACTAGTGTTACTTTAATGTTGCTTACTGTATGTATAATAGAAGTATGGTGGTGACATAGCAGTATCACAGGAAGCAGTATGTGATGGGGGTCTGCTCAGGTTTCAGCGCACACCCCAAGCCCCTTAAACGCGCGTTGCCGGGGGCGATGTCAGGTGTCTGTCAGTGGCCCACGAGGAGTGATATCTCTTTCAGGAGCATAACTGCCACTTTGTGACTGGTAACAGGATCCTGTGCCATGCTGGAAACATGGGGACAATAGAGCGCCCTCTCAGGTCAGATAGACTTTCCTGTACTGGTGAATACTTAACATCAAAATTTGATGTTTACACTAACTCTATTCTGAGGCTTTATAGGGTTTTTATTGCATCAAGGTGAGATGATTTGCACTGTTAGCAGTTGCAGTTTTTGCTTTGATAATTTGATCACCTTAGCGTTGCGCCATTTGTTTAGACACTTAAGACCAAGACAAAACCAGGTCTGCAAGTCCACTACAAAAATCCACAACAAAAATAGAATTACTCAGTATATTGATATTAAGACAAATGTGGACATGGAATTACAATGCTGTTTTTCAACATAAAGATAACATAATTTGAATGTACGTTTAGCCTTTTTTATGAACATGGCTGTAAATCCTGACGTTCCCAGCCAAGGTAATTAACTGGGTTTTATTTATGGGTATTTTACTGTTTAAGTTTTGTACTGTTTTCCCCTTTTTTTTATTTATCACAGTAGATACCACATTATATATAGGACCAGATTTGCTTCCTCTTCATAATGGATGCTTTCCTTGTGAAGGAAGTTAAAGCTGTTATCTATCATAGTTTCTTGACACACCTTTTCCCCACTCAATATAAAGAGATGCTCTGTTTAGCCATAGATACATTGCATTCTTGGACTTGAGCAGGTAATGAATGAATTTTATGTGCCTTGTATATGCTATACTTAGTTGCAAAATTATAAGTTAGTTTTTATATTTTTCCTACTTTCCTCTTATTGAAACGCTGTGTGAGTGTGTGTTACTGCGGCTTGGCGACAGGCTAACTTGGCTGTGATGATGATGAGAGCCAAAGCACTGAAGCATGCACAGGGCCTCTTTGATAGCACCGTAATTAAAGTGCACGGCACTCTCCCTGGCATCATCTTTAAACTAGAAGCTGACACAGAGTATTGAATAGTCAGCGGTGTTAACTTTCACCTGAAGATCTGCTGAGCAACTTTGTACACCTGTATTAAGTTTATTTAACCATTAGGAAATGTCCTCTGTATTTGACCCATTTTTTGATGCAGCTGGGATGAAGACCACCCGAGGACACATCTGTGGATCAGAAATTAGATTCATGGAGTGTCTTGCTGAAGCATTAGACTATTAAGCATATTTTTGGTAAACTTCCATGTATTCTCTCTTGGAATAGGCTTATTTGTTTCCTTGTGGGATAGATAACTTTAGGAAGCAGATAAGATAACGGTGGCAGGATTTAGACTTGTCATACATAGAGGATGCTGTCAAGGACACACACATCTTAATCTGGAAGTCAGCTGACATCCAACTATCAGGATGTGGGCTGTCCACTGAAAAAAATAGTCATATTGTGTATAAATGCTTCAGTAATCACAAACAGATAATGCCAGAGGCAAAATGGACAACATAGTAAACTTATTGTTCGTTTGACAAAGAAAACTAGTACTGATATTTATTCATCTCATTAAGTCTTTCTTCATTAACAGAGTCTGGAGCAGCGGTGTAACCGGATCCTAAGGAACATGGAGGCCTCGCTGACGGCCCGGGATCGAGTTGGGATCCAGGACTTTGTTTTGCTGGATGCCTACACCAGTGAGACGGCTTTCCTCGACAACCTGAGGAAGCGCTTCCATGAAAACCTCATTTACGTAAGCCTTTTTTCCCTCTTTAGTGTCATTTTAATCTTTTGTTTTCTAACCATATACAGTACTGTCTATAGGCCTATAGATGACTACATATGTTATTACCTTTATCTTTATCATAGGTTGCTGAAAGTTAGCTATAAGATACTGTTTATTGTTATACAACTAATAACAATAAACAACAACTATTTACTTCTAGTAAATAATTGTTTAGTAAATGTCCTCTTGGGACATTTTTTAGATTTTTGATTTAACCACTCTTTGTCCTTTAAGGTACCTTCTCAATGTTATTGAAGCCAAATGACATCCACAGATATATGAAGTGTACAGCTGATCTGCTTTAAATTTAAAACAATTGTTCTGTCTTTCTGTACAGACATACATTGGCACTCTCCTGGTTTCTGTGAACCCTTATAAAGAATTAGACATGTACAGCCAGAAACAAATGGATATCTACATGGGGGTGAACTTCTTTGAGCTACCTCCTCATATGTAAGCTCACTAACTAAAAATAAAATTAAAC